AGGAAATGCAAATCAAACACAATGAGATACCACTTCACACCCAGTAGGATGTCTTTCTTTTTTCTTTTTTTTTTTTTAATCCTCACCGGAGGATATATTTTCTTTAAAAAAATTTTTTTTCTATTTTTAGAGAGAGAGGAAGGGAGAGGGAGAAAGCGATAGAAACATCGATGAGATAGAACATCAATTGGCCACCTCCTGCATGCCCCCCAGTAGAGATCGGGCCCACAACCTAGACATGTGCCCTGACCAGGAATCGAACTAGTAACCTCTTGGTGCATGGGTCGATGCTCAACCACTGAGTCACACTGGCTGGGCTCCATTTATTTTCAAGCGGTCTGGGAGGGAGGGAGAGAGAGAGAGAGAAACATCGATGTGAGCAAGACACATTGATTGGTTGCCTCCTGCATGATCCCAACCAGGGGGGCTAGGGACCAAACTGCAACCGAGGTACATGCCCTTGACTGGAATTTAACCCACGACTCTTTAGTCCACAATGCTCTAACTGCTGAGCCAAACCAGACAGGGCTAGGATATCTTTCATTTAAAAAATGGAAAATAATAAGTGTTAGCAAGAATGTGGAGAAATTAGAACCCTCATGCACACTGGTAGGAATGTAGAATGGTGTAACCACCTTGTAAAACAGTCTGCCACTTCCTCACAAGGTTAAAAAAGTTTCCATATGACCCAGGATAAATGGAAACATATGTCCACACAAAAACGTGTAAGCAAATGTCCATGGAGCATTATGCATAAAAGCCAAAAAGTAAAAACAACCCAATGCCCATTAACTTATGAATAAATAAATTGTGGTATATCCATACAATAGAATATTATTCAGCCGTAAAAAGGATACTGATACCAGCTACAGTGTATATAAACCTGGAAAACACTATGCTAAGTGAAAGAAACCAGATACAAAAAATCACTTCTTAAAGGATTCCATTTATATGAAATGTCCAGAATAGGCAAAGCCATAGAGACAGAGCAGATTAGTGGTTACCAGGGGATGGGGAAGAGGTGGGAGTTGGGAGTGATTAATTAATGGGTATGGGGTGTTTTTCTGGGATGATAAAAAAAGTTTTGAGACTAAATAGAAGCAGTGGTTGCACAACATTGTAAATGCACAAAAGTCCATTGAAGCGTATACTTTAAAATGATGAATTGTATGTTATGTGGCTTTCACCTCAAGTTTAAAAATCAATAAACCTCAATTTGAAAAGTAAATGGAAACTGAAATATATAAACATCACCTCCAAAGCCCTGGGTGCAAAGCACAATCCTCCAGTGCCTCCTTTGTCCTCACTGCCGCTCCAAGAGATGGGGTGGGGGGTGACTGAGCCCAGCTCACAGGGCTGGGTCTCTGGGAACTCCTGGTACCCAGGCTCCCCCAATCAGTGGCCCCCTGAGATTCTTGTCTGACCTCCCTGGGTGGAAGCTGGTGAAGTCAGGGGCCGGGAACGTGTCTGCAGCCACGAGGCGGGAGTTAGTGACTGAGGAGCTTGGAATGTGCTGCTTCTGAAAGGACCTCCTTGTGGCTCCACAGAGACGGTTAGAGCAGGAAGGGATTTTTCAGAGTCATGTAATCACTCTCTCTCTCTCTCTCTCTCTCTCACACACACACACACACACACACACACTGCGATCACACACATATTTGAGACCTAAGCCTCTGCTCAGTCACTGCCCCAGGTTGCTTGGGTATCGGGCAGGGTGTATCTGGAGCAGGCAAATGGGTATAGTCAAGGCTGACCCGATACAAGCCTTGCATGTGCCACTACTTGGTCCCCTGTGTCACCCTGACCTGTGCTAAGCACGTGACATTGTTATTTTTATTATCCAGCAACCCTGAGATGTAATTATCATTGTCTCCATTTTACAGATGAACAAACAGAGGTATTGAGAGATTGTGTGCCTCATCGGGGTCATACAGCTGATGAGGGACAGAATTCAAACCCAGAACCCAAAGCTGTCTGATTCCAGCATGCATGCTCTTTTCCATGGGTCACACTACCTCAAAAATCTCTCTCTCTCTCTCTCTCTCTCTCTCTCTCTCTCTCTCTCTCTCTCATTCATTGTAAACTGCTGTTGGTATCTTTCTTTTTAGAGAAAGATAAGCATTGAGTAAAACAAGGACGAGGGAGCGGCACCAGGCTGGTAACCACCTTCTGAGTATGCAGCAATTTACAGCTTATAAAGCACTTTCACATTTGTAACCTCATTTGATCCCACAGCAGCCCTGTGAGGTCATCAGGAGGCTCAATTCTTCCCCCAGGGACTGGGACTGAGAGGGAAAGGTCAACAACCAGGGTCACAGAGACAGAAAATGGTAGCTCTGCCACTGTAAGCCTAGGGCCAAGCTGGCCTTCTGGTTCTAAATTCTGCGTGCACCCACGGAGCCCACCTGGCCCTCTATCCCCAAGGAAGACCACCTGGAATCCCACCTCCCTGAAATCTTCCTCCCCTGAGGACAAAACTGGAGGTGATCACATGAAGGAGGTACCATTGGAAAGCAGGAGAGCCCAGCTCTCTTTCTATAGCTGTGTGACATTGACAGCTCTTACTCTTCTCTGGACCTCAGTTTCCTTAGCAGAATGGGAAGAAGCAGAGAAAAAGCTTTTTGGGGGGGGGGTTCTTTCAGCCCTGACATTCTGCATGTGTAAAAAGATGTCTGTGCCCTGGCCAGTTTGGCTCAGCGGTTGAGCATCGGCCTGCGGACCAGAGAGTCCCGGGTTCAGTTCCCGCTAAGGGCACGTACCACAAAAGAAAAAAGAAAGATGTCTGTGAAGCTTTGAAAAATCTTGCCTGAGCCTGGGCTTGGAGCTCCCACAGCTCTGATTTGGCAGCCTGCTTCAGCCACTCGCTCAGTGATTTTAGGCACTTCATTTCAACATCTCTCAGCCTGTTTCCCACCTGTAAAATGGGATGATGATGGTGCCTACCTCCCAGGGTTGTTTTCCTCTTTTTTTTTTTTCTATCCTCACCTCAGGACATTTTCCCCCCATTTTTTGTTCAGATAGAGTGCGAGGGAGAGAGAGGAAGAGAGAGAGAGAGAGAAACATCGACGTGAAAGGGACATATCGAGTGGCTGCCACCCGCACGACCAACCAGGGCTGGGACAAACTACAACCGTGCCCTTAGCGGGAACCGAACCCTGGTCTCTCTGGATCGAAGGCTGACGCTCTAACTGCTGAGCCAAACTGGCCAGGGCTGTTTTCCTTTGGTTGTTGACATTTGACCCTGGCCTCAGAGTCACACAGACCTTTTTTGATTTTCTTTCTAATGGCAGACATCTTTTTTTTTTTTTTTTAATCCTCACCCGAGGACATTTTTCTATTTTTTATTCGGATAGAGCTGGAGGGAGAGAGAGGAAGAGAGAGAGAAACATTGATGTGAAAGGGACACATCGAGTGGCTGCCACCTACACGACCCAACCAGGGCCGGGGACAAACTGCAACCAAAGTACATTACATGCCCTTAGCGGGAATCGAACCCGGGTCTCTCTGGACCGCAGGCTGATGCTCTAACTGCTGAGCCAAACCGGCCAGGGCGACATCTTTTTTCTTTTTTTTTTTTTAAAAAAATGATTTTAGAAGAGAGGAAGGGAAAGAGAGAGAAACATTGATGTCAGAGAGAAACATTGATCAGTTGCCTTCAGCACAATGCCCTAATTGGGGATCAAACCTGCAACTTGGGTATGTGCCCTGATCAGGAATCGAACCCACCACTGTTTGGTGCATGGGATAATGCTCCAACCAACAACCACACAGGCCATGGAAGTCACACAGACCTTTGACACAATCTCTGAACAAAGCGGATGGCCACAGCCTGGAAGGGCACAGACATTATTTAAAGAAGATGGTGTTTTTCAGGCCATAGGGCACCTGTGTTCCACTGCAGGTTCTCACTGCTGATAGGAGCTCTGAATGCTGATAGGAGCTCTGAATTAAAACTTGTTACAGCTTCTGAAATTGTCCTGTGAGTAGCACAATTATTTTGCATTGGATTTATGGGTAGTTCAAAGCATTAACTTATTCAATGTAAGCATTTGTATTAACTACCATTTTTGTAACTCTGGTTCCTCATTTAGTCACTTTTTATTATACTTGAACCTTAAAACAATGAGCAGTAGGGCTCCACGCCACTACGTGAAACCTTGGACGGTAATAGTACGGTTCCTAGCATGAAATAAGCACCCAATTAATAACAATAACAATAATAATAATAATAATACCCATCACATTTATAATCCACTTTACAATTTCCAAACCCTTTCATATTCTTTTTTTTTTTTTATCCTCACCTGAGGACATTTTTCCATTTCTTGCTCAGACAGAGTGGGAGGAAGAGAGAGAGAGAAACATTGATGTGAAAGGAACACATCGAGTGGCTGCCACCCACACGACCAACCAGGGCCGGGGACAAACTGCAACCAAGGTACATGCCCTCAGCGGGAACCGAACCCGGGTCTCTCTGGACCACAGGCCGACGCTCTAACCGCTGAGCCAAACCGGCCAGGGCCCCTTTCATATTCTTTATCACAATTCCCACGCGCAGTAGGGTAGCTACGTGAACATTTCGTCCCATTTCCACGAATACAGAAACCGAAGCCCGAGCAGGCGGTGAGAGGGCAGTGGGCTCCAGCCCAGAGTGGGCGCAGCCTCAGGTCTGCGCAGGGCGCTGGGCGGGGCGGAGCCGGCTCCTGACAGCTCCCAGGTACCGAGCGACGCGAGGGAATCCTCGGCTCCACCTGGGCGCGGCGAGGAAATTGCACCATGTATGGGCAGCTACGTCAGAAGGGGCGGACCCACCGACGTTGCTGGGGAACGCAGAGTCCTCTCTTTCCCCCCGAAGAGGCAGCTGCAGCCCTGGAGGAGGCGTTCGGGCCGGCCCGGCAAAGGTGGCGCGTCGGGAGAGGCGGAGCCCCGAGGTGACCGGCGCCGCTGCGCAACGCCCCCACCCACTAGTTGAAGTGGTTCAGCCCCGAGAATTTTCATTCATAAAAAGAAAAGACTCCGCGAGGAGCGGGTGACTCAGAACCCAAGCTGCTGACACGGACCCCATAGAGCAGCCAACCCAGGGCATGTTCCGAGACTTCGGGGAACCCGGACCGAGCTCCGGGGCCGGCGGTGCGTACGGCGGCCCGGCGCAGCCCCCGGCGATAGGCCAGCAGGTGAGAGGGAGCGGACGCCTGGGGTCTCCTGGGGGACAGCGCCTGGGACGCTACCGCCCGCTCCAGCACGCGCTGGGACTGGGGTCGGGAGCAGAAGTAGGGACCGCATCTGGTGGCCGTGGACGCGAGTGCTGCCCACTCTCCGCCGTCCGGTGGCACTTTCTCCCCACCGTCCAGGGAAACGCGCGCGGGGGGCGCAACAAAAATCTGAGAATATCCCCCCTCTCGTCCCCCTTCCCCTCGCTGTCTTCTGTCTGTCCCTCCGTCTTTCTTTCCTTCTGTCCTTCCCTTCTTTATTTCCCCCTGTCCGCCGCTGATTTATCCCATCTGCGTTGAAAGGGGGCCGGGCACCTGCCCTAGTCCTAGCGCTGAAGGATCACAGGGTCTGATTCATCTCGGACTAAATTCCCGGGGTGGGTTCTGGAGTCCGGACTGCGGCGGAGACGTGCCCGCACAGGAGTAAGGAGGGATCCATCGGCAGGATAGCCGCGACAGACCGGGAATCCTCGGCACTGTCTGTGTCCGTCCGTTTGTCTGTTCCTCTCTACCCCGTCGCCAAATCCCTGAACCCTTCTCGGAACAGTGGAGTCTGGTGGGCTCCGGGAGACTGGTTCTTGACCCCTTCCTTTACAGGTTGGGGTCAACCTGGCACCTTTCTTTACAGGTAGGTGCCAGAACGTGTGCGGGTCATGAAGCGGGCAAGTCCTGCAACCCCGACTCTCGGCACCAAATGGCGCCCACTGGCGGCTGGGGGTACCCAGGAGGCTGCAGGTGCCTATTTCCTGTCGAGGGGCTTTGAGCACGTGTCGCTAGGGGAGGGAAGGAGCGGCATCTGTTCCGCCGAGTCACGGCGGCCGAGTCACGGTGGGTGACTCACCCGGGGCGCCCCTCCCTTCCTGGCCCAGATTGGCCCGGGCCCGGACAACCTCGGGAGCGGGAGATGCCGCCGGCGGTGCCTCTATCCGGGAACTGGGGTCACTGGGCCCCCAGAGCTGGGCCAGGGGCACCACTGTACGGACTTGCCTGGGCCTGAGCCGGCTCTTCCCGGAGGACTGGGCGCCCACACCCAGAGCCCAGCCCCAGGGCTTGAACCCAGTGCTCACGAACACTGAACCCACATCTCAACCCATTCCTCACATCTCTAACTGAAAGACAATGGTGGCAGGTAATACCTAGAGCGCATACAGTATAGCCAGGCATCAGGCTGGGTGGTTTTCACCTTATTTACCGTATTTCCCAGAATCTAAGATCCCATTAATTTAAAAAACAAAAACAAACAAACAAAAACCACCATTATTTTGTGTCCCTAAATTTAAAAAAAATTTTTTTTTTCTTTATTGGTTTGAGAGAGAGAGGGAGAGGGAGAGAGAGATAGAAACATTGATGAGAGAGAACATCAGTTGGCCGCCTGCTGCATGCCCCCCACTGGGGATTGGGCCCACTACCTGGGCATGTGCCCTGACTGGGAATCGAACCAGCGACCCCTTGGTGCATGGGTCAAAGCTCAACCATTGAGCCACACCAGCCTGGCTGCCCCTAAATTTTTTAAAAAGTTACCAATTAAACTGATTTCAGAGCTACTAAAGGGCACTTCTTAGCATCAGTGAAATGCCATAATCCTCACCTTGTCCAGAGTCACAGCCAGTAAGTGGCCAAGCTAAGATTAGAACTGGACAGCCTGAACCCAGAGCAGTAGCTCTTGACCTCTACAACCTTTACCAGGCTCTGTCACATACATTCTCTCACCTGATTTTCACAGCTACCCTCGAGTTAGGGGCTATAATTATCCTCTTTGTGCAAATGGGACTCAGGCAGGATGCAGCAATGGGAAAGAGCCTAGCTGCCTGGGCCCACATCACACTTCCCGGCTGTGTGTCTAAGAACAACTGTTTTCCTGTCTGAAAAAGAAGATACTGTTGTGCAAATTATATGAGTCAGTATTTGTAAAGTAGTTGGGACAGTGCCTGGAATTCACACTTTATAAGTATTAGCTCTGATGGGGAAATAGAGGTACAGAGAAGTTGTGACCTGCCTAATGTCACAAGGCTCAGGAGCAGTATGACTTTACTCAGTTTCTTTAACTGCCAAGCTGTGCTCTTTCTGGTATCTCAGCACCTGTTTTGAAGGTGGATAGCAATGTGGCTTCTGTCCACTGGGAGCCCCTCAATTCCCACAGACCTCACCCCTGGCCTTCCATTTCTTATCCCTCAGAAGTTCCACCTTGTGCCAAGCATCAATGCTGTGAGTGGAAGCCAAGAACTGCAGTGGATGGTTCAGCCTCACTTCCTGGGACCCAGCAGCTACCCCAGGCCTCTGGCCTATCCCCAGTACAGCTACCCACAGACTCGGCCAGGAGTCATCCGGGCTGTAGGACCACCTCCAGGGGTACGTCGCCGGCCCTGTGAACAGGTAAGAAGCGGAAGCCTTATACTAGTTCTGATACCCACAGGGGTGCTGAGGTGCAGAGGATAGCTCTTCCCCAAAAAGAGAACACAGGCTTAGAAGTGGGGAGAAGGTAGCACCACCAGTCACTATTGACTAAAGTGGAAAGTAGAAGAGCCTCTAGGGAGATCCAGAAGGCAAAGAGGTCACTTCTGGATCATGGAATGCTTCCTGGAGGTGGAGGCATAATAACCTAGAAAGCAGGGTAGGATTTGCATACATAGAGTTAAAAGAAAGGATGTTACAGGTAGAGGGGATGGCAGGAGCAAAAATGAAGGTGGACTAAAACTAGTATGAAGAGGGCAGGCTTATGCTATCTATGTCTAGACAGCTGGGGAGAGAACAGAAAGGAGATGGTTCCTGTTCGCTACTCTTGGGCTTCAGTTTCCCTATCCCATTTAAAATCTCACAAAAACCCTCTGGCGTATGTACTCTGGTTTTCCCCATTTTACAGCCAAGGAAATTAAGGCACAGAGAGGTAAAGTCACTTGCCAAAGATCACACAAGTAGTGAGTAATGAGACAGGTCTGTCCAATTCTAAAGTTAGATCCTAACCATCAAGCCACACTGTCTCATCCAGAGGTAAGAGAAGGCTTGAAGAGTGAGCTGGAAACTTTTGCCTCCCCAACCAAGGTTCCTACCTGCACACTGCTAATAAAGTCCTTACCAAAATAAAGAAATAGAAAGTCTTTAAGGGAGTGATGCCTCTTTCCTTTCTCTGGAGCATTTTAGTATATGAGACGGTAGTGGGTGAGGTTTGTACATTAAACAGACTGTTCTGACAGCAGGGTAGAGGATGGGGAAGGGAGGCTGGGATCCTAGGAAAGATGTGCTGTCGGCCAGGGGAGGCTTGCCCAGACACAGCATGGCTGGAAGAGCACTGTGGTGTTGGCCCCAGTGGCAGGTTTCTGGATTTTCTGCCTTCAGCCCTGTCCTGAGGGTGCTTTGATCCTGGGCACTCTTAGACTGGGGCAGTGAGCTGTGAGTAGGTTCCTTTTGAGGGAGATGCTCTCCATCAGCTGGCCTCTCATTCAACGTTGAATAGAGTGAGTGGATTTTAATTTCTGCTCTAGAATCATAAGCAAGTTATTCTTTTTCCCTGGGCTTCAGTTCCTTACATGGAAAGTTGTGTTAAGAGTCTCAGACAAGCACTTTGCTGGCACACAGATTTCCAATAAATAAATGCTTAGAAGCACTCATTAGCCCCCCCAGCGCTTACATTTCCTGGAGAACAGACTTGGTTATCAAGAAATTGAAAAGGAGTCCTTCAAAAAAGAGTGGCTGGCTCCCAGGGATTCCAAAGAGGAAAGGCCACTTTTGGCCGGGGGATGAGAGAAAGCTTCTTGGAGGTTGAGGCATCTTAGTTGAATCCTGGGAATGAAGAGGGTTAAGATTTGTGGAGGGGCGGGGTAGGGCATTTCAAGAGGGGAATTGTAGGAGGCAAAAGCTGGGTTTTTGACTGGTACAAGTTTACTAAAGCGTGAGTTCGAGGAACCTGGCCAGGTGCTGTGGTCCTTAAAGTGCAAAAGTAGGGCGCCCCCGCCCTGCCATGCCCGCCATCAGGATCCTACCACTGAGCCACCGCACTAGGTGAGTGCCCGGCAGCCAGTGGCCCACGATCCACCTCACTGCTCCCTCTGTCCCCCAGTTCAGCCCGGAGGAGGAGGAGCGCCGTCGGGTGAGGCGGGAGCGGAACAAGCTGGCCGCGGCCAAGTGCAGGAACCGGAGGAAGGAACTGACCGACTTCCTGCAGGCGGTGAGCACCGGCCGGAGTGGAGGGCCCACCAAACCTCCGAGGGGCCTGGGCTCCCGTGGGCCTGTGAGGCCCCAGGAGGCGCTGGAGAGGCAGGCCTCCGGAGAAAAGGACCAGGAAAAAGTACTCGGAGCACAGCACAGCAGAGCTGAAGCTTCGGCCAACAACTCCTAAGATACCCCCGGGCCTGATTGGAGTCATGCACATTTTTCTCCCAACGACTCATGGGAATTGTAGTCCAGACTTGCTGGCGACTCCCCACTCACCCTACGCCCAACCACCACCACCACGATAGGTGACGCGGTGGTCGGCCCTCATCTTCCTGACTCCCCTCCTGACCTTCTCCCTACAGGAGACGGACAAGCTGGAGGACGAGAAATCAGGGTTGCAGCGAGAGATTGAGGAGCTGCAGAAGCAGAAAGAGCGGCTAGAGCTGGTACTCGAAGCCCACCGCCCCATCTGCAAAATCCCGGAAGGAGCCAAGGAGAACGACACTGGAGGCACAGGCGGTACCAGCAGCCCACCAGCACCCTCCCGCCCTGTGCCTTGTATCTCCCTTTCCCCGGGGTCTGTGCTTGAACCCGAAGCATTGCACACCCCCACGCTTATGACCACACCCTCTCTGACTCCTTTCACACCTAGTCTGGTCTTCACTTACCCCAGTACTCCTGAGCCCTGTGCCTCAGCACATCGAAGGAGCAGCAGCAGCAGTGGGGACCCCTCCTCTGACCCCCTTGGCTCCCCCACCCTCCTGGCCTTATGAGGCACTCTGGCCCTCCTTCCTGCCAGTGCCACCCTAACCAATATCTCCTCATCCATTGGTCCAGCTGGCCTGGGCTATATCCCATACTCAACCCCAGCAGGTTCTCCATCCCTCCAGATGAGACTGAGCCTATTTTGCCTCCTGGCAGAGATATTTGGGGGCCACCAAAGCTGTCCACTGTTTCCCTAGAGCTGGCCTCTCTAGCACAATTTGCATTAAATCAGAGACAGAATACTTCCCATTTGTGCCAGAGAACTCCTGGCAGCTCCAAAGGACTTTATAGATCCTATAGATCCCTAGAGGTTTCCTGGAGCCCAAACCCCCTCCAGACTTCCCCTAAGTCTTCATTTCCCTCTTCCAGTGATCCACCCAACCCTACCCCTAGACAGAAGGTGATATGTTCCAGCCTAGAACACTAACTCACCCAGCCCCAATGCCAGCAGCACCAGGTGATTGAACTAGGGCATTCTGCCAGTCCTCCCAGAAATGGCTCAGCTCAAGATGGTGCCAGAGACTTCTGTGATGAGCTGAGCTGCAGCCCCTGGCTCTGAGAAGACTTTAGCTCCAGGAAATCTAAGCCTCCACTGCAAGGGCAGCTGCTATTTATTTTCCTAAAGAGAGTATTTTTATACAAACCTGCCAAAATGGAATAAAAGGCTTGAAGCTCTGGCCTGGTTTCATTGGATTCAGAGGATAAAGGGAGAACATTTGGATCCAGAAGTACTAGGCTCAGGCCTCAGTTCCACAGACTCACTGCATGACCTTGGACAAATTATTTGATATTATTGGACCTCCATTATCTTATCTGACGAATGAAGCTACATCTGCTCTGCCTCATCTCCAACATTGAGATGAAGAGTGCTGTGGGATGCAAGCCAAGAGGATTGTCATCCTCCTCCTGGTGGGGGCCCACCTTGCTCCTGCGTGTACCACAGGAGGGCGCTGTTATGCCCCTTCTATCCTGAGAGGAGGCAGCTGAGTGGGTTCTAGGCCCCCAACACCTGCTTCCTGCCCCATTGTCTTGGACAGGAAGGAGCCGGGAAGGGAGCTGGAGCCATTTCAGGGCCGGATCACCGAGGGTCCCGGTGCCTGCCGGCGCGGGCAGAGGGGGTAGGGAGTTGTAGCCAGCAACTTACCATGGCCCCACATCGCCCCTGACTTGAGGTAATGGGGGGTGGGTATCAGACACCTTAGTTCTGCAGCCCATCCGGATGAGGATAACCCCGTCTCAACGTCCCCGCCCTTGTCCTAACCCCGGCGAGTCCCAAATAGACGCTGCCCATGGGCTCTGCTTCCGTCCCAGTTTATTAGCCCCCACCCAGCCCCTGCAAGTCCCTCCGCTCCAGCCTCCAGTCCCCCTGTTGCCCAGCCAGCGAGACGAGGGGCCCTCCTCAGTGCCAGGGTGTCTAAGTCCATGCCAGCGGCCCCTCGTATGCAGCCCCGACGGCTTCCATGTCCCGAGATCCACCGCAATATGGGAGATTGCGGAGCTGTCCCGGCGGGCCTCGAAGCGAAGGAAGCTGCGCCCTCAGACATCTGGGGAGCAAGCCAGGGGCAACTGATCAGGACTACCCACGCTGCCGGTGCTGGAGCTTCCATCCCCCAGGTCGCGGGGCCCGCAGGGGGGCAAGGCGAGCTCCGGTGTCGGCCCGGAGCCTGAGCCCCCCGCGCCACCGGGGCCGCCGCGGGGACCCCACTCCTCGCCCAGCGCCAGGCAGAGCTCCTTAAGCGCTAGGTTCTCCCGCAGCAGCTCTTCCTGGCGGCCCTCCAGCTCAGCCAGCTTCTGCCAACAACCGCCCAGATCCTCGCGCACAGCTCGGGATGCTTGGGTCCCGAAGAGCTGCCACTGGCGAGCGGCGCGCCGCCCGCGCTGGCGCTCTGAGTCCAGAAAGCAGCAGAGGTCGCGCAGCTCACGGTTCTCGGCCTGTAGGCGTCGGTTGAGCTGCTTGAGCTCGCGGATCTCGCCTAGGTGACCCTGCAGCTGTCGATTCACCTCCTGCATTAGGCGGCCGCGCTGCACCAGAGCCGCCAGGCGCGCCGCCTCCTCTCGCCGCAGGCGCCGCACCAGTTCCTCCTTGCCCAGCGCCGCCATCTCCTCGTCCGTCAGCTCCTCCAGGCCGCCCGCCTCGGCCTCCATGGCTGCTCAGGTCTCTGGAGCATCGCCTGCCCGCCGCCGCGGTCCAGGTGCCCCACGTCGAGCCCCGCGCGACTTAGGGTCAGGATCGGGCTTCGCCAGTGGCAGGCTGTGGCCGGCTAGCGTAGGCTGCAGCAGCCTCGCGGGGGTGGGCACGCGGCAGGGCGCGCGCCAGGGCGGGGCCGCCTGACGTTAAGGAAGGACAGCCAATCCGGGAAGGCCTCCCCGAAGGGGGCGGGTCCTGAGCGCAGTGAGCTCCCCTTCCCCGCCCACTCTAGACCGCAGAGTCCCTGATAGTCGGGGACACTGGGTCCCTGCACCCGCACTTGTCAACCCAAAACTAAATGCTTCGTACCTCCCGGTTCCAAACGTCCTCAGGTTCGAGCCTAGGGCTCTTGACTTTTTCTGAGAACCAAAACTGCCCCGGAACTCTTCCGTCCATCCCCCACAGAACCCATACAGACCCCCATTCCATCCTTCCTACTAGTTTAAGCTCGAAGCCTCTCGGCTCACTGAGCATCGCTCCAGCTTCTCCAAACGTTCTGGCTTACCACTAGCCTACTCTCTCTCAGGGGGCATTTCCTGCCCAGGGGTGGGGAGCGGGGGGTGGGGTGGGGGTCGACGGAACGTAAAGGGATTCATTTGTTCACTAAACCTTTATTATGAGTAAGACCCAAACAAAAATAAACTTGATCAAGATTCTTATCCTGTCCTCAGAGAAGTCTTTTTTTAAAAAATATGTCTTTATTGATTTTTTAAAAGAGAGATATATCGATCAGCTAGCTCCTGCATGAGCCCCTCTGGGGATCTAGCCCACAACCCAGGTATGCGCCGTGACCGGGAATCAAACCGGGATCTCTCAGTCCATGGAACATCATCGCTCAATACACTGATCCACACCCGCTGGGTTCAAAGAACTCATAATCTGGCAGGGTAGACAAGCTGTGTTAAACAAGAAGCAAATGGAGGAGGTACACGGTTTGAGGGACCCCCCCCAAAAAAAAGGTTTTCCAAAAGAGGTGATATCTGAAGGTCCCTGGAAAATGCATAGTTTTGTCAAATAATGAGAGAGCTAGTTCAGGGAGAGGAAATCACAGTGGTGAAAGAATCTGGGGTCTGAAAGGGCCTAGCTGCTGTAGGAACAGTGAGGGTAACTTGATTTCTTTTTAAAAGGCAGGCGTGGAGAAAGTGGTACGAGAGGAAGGCAGGGAAGAAACAAGGGTAGTCAGAAGCCAGATTCTTAAGGGCTTTCAATACTAGGCTGGCACATTTTCACAGGCCAGTAAAGTTTTTAATCAGGGGAATAACATTTTTAAATATATATATTTAAAGTGATTATTCAGGCTGCTCTGTGTGGGATGGACAATGGGGAGGAGATGTAGGCAGGGAGATTAGTAAGAACATTGTGTCATTGGGCAAGGAAGGCTATGAAAAAGGACTGAGCTGGGACAGTTCTAGTGGGGGTAGAGAGAACAAAAGAGATACTAGAAATATTCAAGAGGCAAATCAGCAAACTGTGGAGAGAGAGGAGTCTGAGAAAAAGCCTAGGTTTCTGATATGGGAACTGGGTGAATGATGGGGCTGTCACTGAGATAATAATACAGGAGAGAAACAGACTGGGGAGATGGACAGGTCTATCTAGCTGGGGGGTTGGGGGGGCTGTGCAGAGATGGTGTGGAAAGACTCATAGATAAGCAGCCTTCCTGCTATGGACTTCCAGGCAGAGCTCTGGGCTGCAGAATAAGAGAGGTCATTAATTAGTGGCCAGGTGGTGGTGAGTGGGGTGGGGAGAGGAGTGGAGGGTGTTAAAACCATGGGAAAGCCCTGGCCAGGTAGCCCAGTTGGTTAGAGCATTGTCCTAATACACCAAGGCTGTGGTTGGATCTCTGGTCAGAGTACATACAAGAAGCAATCAAAGAATGCATAAATAAGTGCAGTGGTTCTCAACCTTCCTAATGCTGCGACCCTTTAATACCATTCCTCATGTTGTGGTGAGCCTCAACCATAAAATTATTTTCGTTGCTACTTCATAACTCTAATTTTGCTACTGTTATGAATCGCCATCAGAAATATGTGTTTTCCAATGGTCTTAGGCGACCCCTGTGAAAGGGTCGTTCAACCCCCAAAGGGGTCACAACCCACAGGTTGAGAAGGGCTGAATAAGTGGAACAACAAATTGATATTTCTTTCTGTGTGTCTCTAAAATCAATAAATTAAACAAAAAAACATGGGAGCAAGTGCTCCACCCCAGGGGAGATGCTCAGCAGCAGGAAAGACTGAGGGGCTCCCAACAAGGGCCTTTGGAAGTCAGCTACACATCTTTATTGCTCAGAAAAGATTTAGGATTGAGTCCTATGAAACTCCTAGCCCAGCCGGTATGACACTGAGCCCAGCTGTGTGGCTCAGTGGTTGAGCTTGGAACCATGCACCAAGAGGTCGCCAGATCGATTCTGGTCAGGGCACATGCCCAGGTTGTGGGCCCGATCCCCAGTAGGGGCATGCAGGAGGTGGCCAATCCATGTTCGCTCTCAGCGATGTTGCTGTTTCTCTCTTCCTTCCTCTCTCTCTCAAATCAATAAAGAAAAAAAATTTTTAAAAAAATTTAGGATACAGGTCCAAGTAGGGAGGCCCGGAAAAGAGCTGAGAAAGCGGGAAGGGGTGGCGATCGAGAGGAAGTGACAGGGAAGGATTCCAGGGCAGGGGAGACTGGGCAGGCCAGAATAGGGATGGGTGTGGGGACAGAGGAGACTGGGATTCCCTCTCCTGTGAAGAGGTGGGGCTACTCTACCGCTTCCGCCTCTTCCCTCGCAGCTCCTGCCCCACCCTCTCTGTCCCGGAAGTGGTCCTTCCGTGGCTCCGGGTGCCGGGAACGGAATCGCCGCGCTCCCGGAAGTGGCCCGGCGGTGGCGCGCTCGGTCCAGGCGGTTCTCGCTCCTCCTGGGGCGCTGCGGCTGCTCCCCGGTCCGGGCCTCGCCATGACCAGCGAGCTGGATATCTTCGTAGGGAACACGACCCTCATCGACGAGGACGTGTATCGCCTCTGGCTGGATGGTTACTCGGGTCTGTGGGGGGCCGTCTAGGGGAGCCAGTCGGGCGGAGCGGTGGGTTTGGAGGAGTGAGGGGGCGGAGCCTGGACTTCGCCATCAGAGGGAGTGGGCGGAAGAGTAAGGGATGTATGGAAGTCGGGCCTGGGATTCCTGGAGGGTCTTCGAGGTCGGCGGGGCGGGACCTGATGCTAGCGCTTACTTCCCAGTGAGCGACGCGGTGGCCCTGAGGGTGCGCTCGGGAATCCTGGAGCAGACGGGCGCCACGGCAGCAGTGCTGCAGAGTGACACCATGGACCACTATCGAACTTTCCTTATGCTGGAGCGTCTGCTACATGCACCACCCAAGCTGCTGCACCAACTCATCTTCCAGATCCCGCCCTCCCGACAGGCGTTGCTCATCGAGAGGTGGGGATGCCATCTTCACTGACTATATACCAATTTTGCAGGCTGAAACTAAAGTCAGGAAGGGACAGGGCTTACCCAGGCCCGTGAGAAAGATGAGAGCAGAAGGGGCCAAACTCAGGCTCTGCCAGGCCCCCTTTCCCCTCCTTTATGGAAAGTCAGTAGTGTCATCTGCCTCCACGCAGGTACTATGCCTTTGATGAGGCCTTTGTTCGAGAGGTTCTGGGCAAGAAGCTGTCCAAGGGCACCAAGAAAGACCTGGATGACATCAGCACCAAAACCGGCATTACCCTTAAGAGCTGCCGAAGACAGGTGGGCACTGCAGCCCCCTCCTCACCAATACAACATTCTGTCTTACAGTCCACCTCTTCACTTCATCCCTTTGGCCACTGCCTTAGCTCCAGCTTCCTCTCCCACCTCTGATTGTGGCAGAAACTTCATACCTAGTCTCTTCTCCCCTGTTTCCCCCCCCCCCCCCATTTTTTGTTCAGTTAGAGTGGGAGGGGGAGAGAGGGAGAGAGAGAGAAAGAAACATCGATGTGAAAGGGACACATCAAGTGGCTGCCACCCGCACGACCCAACCAAGGCTGGGGACAAACTGCAACCAAGGCACATTCCCTTAGCGGGAACCAAACCTGGGTCTCTCCGGACTGCAGGCTGACCCTCTAACCGCTGAGCCAAACCAGCCAGCCAGTGCTCTTCTCCCCTGTTTTTGCCCCTTCCAAACCATCCCTTACTCTTCAGCCAGAGTGATCTTTCGGAGTCCCAGATCTAACTGTAGCTTTTTCCTGCCCATAAACTTTCTCTTTTTTTATATCCTCACCCAAGGATATTTTATATCCTCACCTGAGGTAGAGAGAGAAAGAGAGATAGGGAGAGAGAGAGAAACATCAATGTGAGAAAGACACATCAACTGGTTGCCTCCCGCACAACTCCGGCCAGGGCTGGGGACGAACCACAACCCAGGTACATGCCCTTGGCTGGAATCGAACCCGGGACCCACTGGTCTGCGGGCTGATGCTCTACTGCTGAGCCAAACCGGCCAGGGTCTGCCCATAAACTTTCATTGGCTTCCACTCCTTTCTGGATAGTAGCCACACTCTTTGACCTTGCCCTTCATACTTTCCTGTGATCTGGTCTCTGCCAGCCAGAAAAAGTAGCCCTTTTTTGGGCCTTCATTGTCTTTTCTCTGTGTTTCCTGTGAGCTCCCTGCGTATAGCTTCGCATTTGCTCATTTTTTACTTTTTAGGCCTTAGCCAGGAGGGTCACTTCCGGCACAAGTTCGTGAAGAACTTGAGCGTGTGATGCTAAAAAGTAGGAGTGAATTCAGAAGTAGGAGTGAGTAAATGTTTATCCTAACCAAGATGGCAAAAGCGGGTAGACATTTGTTGAATCGATAACTTATTGAAGGAATTCCAGATGCTATATATATGAGCATCTGATATAGCATCTGTTGATTGGATAGGTAGATAGGTGAGGGATGGTGTTCAATAAACAGTTTATTGAGTGAACAACTTCTGACCAGTCCTCCCTCCCTTAACTGCCCTGCAGTTTGACAACTTTAAACGAGTCTTCAAGGTGGTGGAGGAAATGCGGGGCTCCCTGGTCGATAACATCCAGCAACACTTCCTTCTCTCCGATCGGTTGGCCAGGTGAGGGACCAGGCAAGGAGCTATTTATCTCCCCCATTCTGCACACTCCTTCCCTGGACCCTGAGGCTGGTCCACCTTCCCCACCCCAACCCCCTTGATCTCCTGGCTGTGTTGGGGGAATGGTTATCTCACTCCTAGTGTGTAAATTGGATCAGACTGGCCTGGTTTCAAATCCCAGCCTGGCCATTTACCAACTGAGCTGTCATGAGGTTCCACGTGTAAAGCACATTGCACAGCCCATGGGGCTTGGAAAGTGCTCAGTAAATGGTAATGGTTACCCTTGTGGTCTCCCGCTCTATCCCTTAGGAGACCTGGGTTGAAACCTCTTTCACAGATGAAGAAGCCCAGAGAAAAGTGACTTGAAACATGTCACACAGTTAATTAGGGCAGAGAGAGGCCAGAACTCTGATGCCCAACTGATGTTGCAGGTGGGAGCTGCTTGCTACGAAGGAATTCCAGCTCTGACAGGTTCACTTTCCCCTACCTGCAGGGATTATGCAGCCATCGTCTTTTTTGCCAACAACCGCTTTGAGACAGGGAAGAAAAAACTGCAGTATCTGAGCTTTGGCGACTTTGCCTTCTGCGCTGAGCTCATGATTCAGAACTGGACCCTTGGAGCCGTCGGTGAGGCCCCCACTGACCCAGGTGCCTGGACACCTCCCCACCCTCTCAGGGCCTTCTACCCCACCAGTAGTTTCTTCTGTAGGCCCATAGTTCCCAGCATCCTCTCTTTTTCAGGGCTCCTCACCAGCCGCCTCGGTTTAGTCCAGTGTCCCCATATACACCTTGTCTGCAGACAAAGGGCTCTCTACTTCTCTATGGCTTGGGACAAAGCATTCCACCTCCCTGACACTCTGATTTCTCTTCTGTCTTATGGGGGTGCAATGGTGATACATAAGGAAGGCTTGGGATATCACAGGAAAGCATTTTATCCCTCCTCCCCCAACTCCTTTCATGGGCCTTACTCAGACTCCCAGGTGGATGACATGGATGTGGACTTAGACAAAGAGTTTCTCCAGGACTTGAAGGAGCTCAAGGTGTTGGTGGCTGACAAGGACCTTCTGGATCTGCATAAGAGGTGACTCTGGGAGGTGTCCTTGGGGTGGGGCCTGAAGTGGGGGCTCAACCAGCTCTAGGCTTGACGCTATCTCTCTGCAGCCTGGTGTGCACTGCCCTCCGGGGAAAGCTTGGTGTCTTCTCTGAGATGGAAGCCAACTTCAAGGTCTGTGGCCCAAGCCCCCATATGTCCCTTGGGCATCTTCAGCCTCCAGGCAACTCTGCTCATGCCCTAGATTGACCAGCAGGTGGTGCTGCTTCTCCCTCTGCCCATCTGTGATGGGGGGAGGGGTTAGCTCCTAAACACTGGGGAGTTACTTAATTGAGGGAGGTGAATAGATTTGGGGAAGGGCCTGCCCCTCCCCCAGCCTCTGGGGCAGAAGGCAGAACTCCCAAGCTCCCTGCCTCACAGAACCTGTCCCGGGGGCTGGTGAATGTGGCTGCCAAGCTGACCCACAATAAGGATGTCAGAGACCTGTTTGTGGATCTGGTGGAGAAGGTGAGCTGTCCCACCCACTGCCACTCATCCCCAGCCTAGCTTGTCTCTGAGCTGTCCCAGTGCTAGATGTTCCCTTGGGCCCACAGTTCGTGGAGCCCTGCCGCTCTGACCACTGGCAGTTGAATGACGTGCGGCTCTTTTTGAATCAGTATTCAGCATCAGTCCACTCCCTGGATGGCTTCCGGTGAGTGACCCCGGCCTCCTGCTCAATGTGGCCTTGTCCCAGCCAGCCTCCTGCTAGGGTCTGGCCCTCCTGCAGACGCAGGGTTCCCTGTTCTGCCTCCCTGGGGGTGAAATTTTCTGTGGACCAGAGTCCTTGTCCACCTCTAAGACGCTGTGACAACCTTGGGCAGGTTCATTAATCTCTCCATGCCTCAGTTTCCTCATATATAAACTGGGGATGATAATGGTAAGGATCATGAGAATATTGTGAGGATTAAAGAGTGAAGGTGTAGAGAGCACTTAGAGCTACGCCATGACATGGTGGGTTGTGGTAAGCCTCGGCCACTACTGTCACCATTATTATTGCAGGCACCAGGCCCTCTGGGACCGCTACATGGGCACCCTCCGTGGCTGCCTCCTGCGCCTCTATCATGACTAAGGCCCCCTCCCACTACTCTACTCACACTGACAATAAAGTTGCCGTGACTTCGGAGGAGCCTGTGCATGGGTACACCCAGGGGTCCATGTGTGAGAGGTGTGCATGCATATGTATCGTAAGTGTCATGGTGTGTAAGGATCTGTGTGTACGCTGGTCCTGCAGGGACTAAAATGAGTCCAGGAATGGTATCTGCTCTTCCTCTCCATTTCCCCACCCAGCGGAGTCCACTTGGAATACAGAATCTTATGTTTGTTTATTCAACTCCTAGCAAGAAGATTGGGAGGACAGGAGAAGACTTTGGGGCTCAACCAGCAAGGAGGCAGCTGGCATAGCAGGAGAGAGCTGAGGGGCGGGCTTAGCGAGGGCAGGAGACTCGCTGCTTCTTGTCTGGTTTACCCACTCGGGCAGTAATCGGGTACTTGGTGATACCACAGGCATTGCTCCCTCGGTGCAGCCGGAAATAACCCTAGGAAGTCAGAGAACATCAGGGCCAGAAGTGGGGAGAGGCCTGTCCTCTCCCCCCCAATAGATTACACTCACCTCCTCACCCCAGTTGGCCCCCCAGGAGTTCTTCAGAATCCAGTATTGGGTGGACTGACGAGAATGAGACTGGGATGAGACTGCCTTTGCCCGCCTCCGCTCCACTGACTTGGTCTTACCAAAACCCACCAGCAGGACAACATGGTTCACATGTTGAGGGTCACAGGTGGTTGGTGTGGCCCTGATTACACCGTTCTTGTATTGCTGCAGGGGCAGGGACAGAGGGGCTAAGTCTGGGGCCACATCCCCTATGTGTTCCTCCCCCATTCCCTACCCTATACCACCTGCAATAGCTTCATGTTGATGGTCACAGTGATGGGGCCCTCAGTGGCCAGGTACCAGGCAATTTCTGGGGATAGAGGTGCCATCAGGCCGTGCCTGCCCAGTTTCCCCTGCTCTCAGCTCATGGTTTTCTCCACCTCTCTCCCTCCCCATACCTCCGTCCCTGTCCATAGCCCCATCTGTCTGCCTCTGTCCTGGTTTGTCTATCCTCCTCCCACGCCTCCCCCCACATCCATCTGGGTCTCCACCCTGCCCTCACTCTGCTCGTTGTCCGACAGCATGATGAAATCCTGGATCCAGGCCACCTTTTTGTACTTCTTGGCCTGGCACTTCTTTCCGACCACCCCCTGGAATGGGTAGTTTTTTTCGCTAGCCAGGCCACCTAGAAGTAAGCAAGGCCAGGAGGGGACTGAGTTCTGGAACACCCCCACCCCACAGTTCCCCAGAGGCCAGCACTCACTGTTGTTGAGGACAGTTATGTACGCATCCCAGACGTAGCCGCCCCTGCAGCCATCCCCACAGCGGCCACAGTCGAGTAGCTCTGGTGAAAGTAGGGACAATGTGAGTGACCAAGCCCCAGGTCCCAACCCCCCACTGGCACACATGAGCCCTCTTCCAGCCATACCCTGCACAGAGACTTCCACAGACTCTTTGTGTTTAATGGCCCACTGGGCTTCGATGTTGCCCGCTGCTGCCATGGCCCAGCAACAGAGACAGTTTTCCTAGTGGGAAAGGGTGGGAGCTGGGTAAGGGGGCGGGGCCTTGCCGACCCTGCCCCCTCTCTCCCTACCACCACTGGGGCTGGACTGCAGCAGGCTGGGTGGAGCAGATACCTGGTACTTGACAGATGAGATGACACCCGGTGCCTTCCGCCAGTCACAGGTTGAGGGCACTGACCCCTCCCACTCATCAGATCCTGTCTCTCTGTCCACACTGGGGGCTTTTCCATCTGCCCTCTGATTCCCATACAGCTGGCCAAACTCTTCCTCTGGGGGACAGATGGGACCACCAAGATCACAATATTGACCCCTTCTCCCACTCCAGGCTTCCACATCCTTGGCCATTAGAGTCCCCACAGTGCCCTGGGAGACACAAAGGCAGGGATGCTGAGGCAGAGAGAGAGACCAAGTTCCTTGCTGAGGTGTATTTCCCTGCACCTGCTACCTCAGCCTTGAGCTGAGCTGGGACACAGGCCTCCAGAGTACCTGTCCCTGCTCTCAGTGATTTGGGATAAACCCAGGCTTCTGGTCCTGGGAAATGAATTCCAAAGGTCTGCCCTGTCCATCTGCCAGTATCCCTGGACAAGGCTCTGCTTCCCCACCCACCACTTAGGGGCCAGGAGGTGTCCCATTACCTGTGAGGTCACTGAAAGGAGTCACCCCAAAATTGGCTGTACCCAAGTCTTCCTCCTGTAGCCGCTGAGCCTGGGCCAGGTTGCGGGCAAAGATATCCAGGCGGCGAGCATGCTCTGGATCAAAAGAAGGTCTTCCTAGGCTGGCTCTCAAGCCCGTGGTGGCAGGAAGTGGCCACTGGCTGGGTGTCCTACCACCCACTCTTACCCTGATGAGCACTGGCCCCTTTCCTGTGGCCCTGCAGGCTCTGATGCAGATACCTGGGCCAAGGAAATGGCTCCCAGCCCACCTGGGGTTGGGTTTTCCCAGGAGACAGGAAGTGGGGCCTCTCTGCCCACCTGGGGGGAAGCCAAGTAAAGGGTCTGAAGGCAGAGTGACTCAGAAAGGAACGATTGGAGGCAGGCTTCCTGCTGCCAGGTCACCTCCTTCACACCTCTGACCACAGGTCTGGGGCTGGAATATGGCAGGGGTGGGGAAGGGTGACATACAGATGCATCACACGGGCTGAAAGACACCCGGAGGTTATCCCTCTAAAGATGAGACCTAGAGAGAGGGCAGGTACAGGGCTGGCAACTCGGGATGGAGAGGTAGTCCCAGCTTGAGGACAAAATGGGTAGCCTTAGGTGTTTGCTAAGTGAACTCATGACTAGATGGGAGTCTGCATGCTGCCAGGAGTCACAGGAAAGTAGCTGTGGAGCCGAAGGGTCCTCTAGGACTGAGCAGACCCCTAACAGCTGCCACCTCCCTCCAGACGTGGCAGGAAACGTAGGACACCTCAAGCCCTGCTGTTCTGCTGAGTGGCTTGAGCCAAGCCCACACCCCACCCTAAACCTTGATTTCCTCCTTGGTTAAATGGGAGGAGTGGGATTGGACTGGAGATGTATGGGTCCCATGATACCTGCTGGGTTTGAATAACTTCGATTATACTGGATCTGGAACAAAGTGAAGACCTCTCTCAGCTCCAGTGGCCGGGGACCTGGATCCTGGGGGGGAAGGAGTTAAGTGAGGAGTCATTGCTGGGACCACACCTTGGCTTCCAGCAAGGACTGAGCTAGGGGATCAGCCAGTTAACCTGTCCTGTCTCCCTGTATGAGCATCAGCATATCAATCACATTTCAGCCTCAGTTGCTCCCTCTGAGAAATGGGAACAAAGCAGTTGTTTCTGAAGGGGTGAGCCCCAGGCATGGGGCTTGCAAAGGGAAGGGCATGGGGAGCAGTTGTGGGCTCTTACCTGGACCCTGAAGGAATCCTTGGTGCCTTGGGCCAGACCTGCCACCAACAGGGCCAGGAGGCAGGAGAGAAGGACAGTTGGTGCCATGTTGCTGCAGACCAAAGTGGTGGGGACAGGAAGCTGTGAGACCAAACTAGAGGGGCTGAGAGGGTGGAGCTGGAGAAACCACAAAGGGAAACCAGGCTGGGAGGGGGGGGGAGCTGAACCCCTCAAGCAAGAGGCATTCAGGCTTTTGGCCCTACACAGCCCTCTGCCTGCCTATTCCCCGCCCCCACCCCTTTTTTTTATTCAACAGAGGCTCTCGGCCCACCCTGTTCTGGGTAATTTTGGGGACACAGAGATGGATCTGTCCTCAAGGAGAAAGGAGGCGACAGGTCCTAAGAGGGCAGTGACATAAAGCCATCAGTACTGTCATGGGTAAGCCCAGGGAACTATGGGAGCCACACGTTCCTGATGACTGGGTGTGGATGGAGGGTCAGTGCCCCTGCAGAAACACTCTTGCTCATCCCTCAAAGCTTAGTGAGCTCAAGGCTCACCTCCAAGAAGCTTTCCCCGCTCTCCTCTGCTGGAACCCGCGGCCCCTCGAGCCCCTGGGGACTGCTTCCCCACACCTGAGCTGTCTGAGGCGCCTGTGTCCTCAGCGCCCAGGATGTGGCTGCGTGCACAGCAGGCTTGGTGGTGGGGGTGGCTGAGCAAGTGGTCATCATGTGTTTACCTCATGGGTTTCAAACAAGAAAGTTCAAGTCCAGGGCACAGCAGGTGGCAGCTCCTGTCTCCTTTTGTTCCTCATTCCTGTCACAGTCTGGGTGGGGATGAGGGGCCAGAGAGATGGGAGGATTGGCATCTCAGGCAGCAAGGCCAAAGCCTGTGAGGTCAAGGGCCGGGCAGGGGTGTTAACACCTGTCACTGCTGCCTCAGTTCTGAGGGGTCCTTAGGCTGGGGCTCTCCCTTATGAGTCTCCAGGCTGGGAACCAGGGCCCCAGACCAGTGCTGAAGACCAGAGCTGGGGGAGAAAACTGGCTTTCTAGGGGTGCCATAGGTGTGGGAGAGGGGAAAGGAGGAGGGCTCTGATGCTGGGATTAATTTATTCATGTGCTCACTACATTTCTCCATTCATTAGGAATCTGCCCCACTTTGCTGCACCACCCTCACTCCCACCCCAGACAGTAAGCCGAGGGACTCCTCTATTTGGAAAAACAGCCATGCTGTCTTTTTTTTTTTTGAATCCTCACTTGAGGACATTTTTCCACTTTTTGTTCAGATAGAGTGGGAGGGAAAGAGAGAGAGAGAGAGAAACATCGACGTGAAAGGGACACATCGAGTGGCTGCCTCCCGCATGACCCAACCAGGGCCGGGGACAAACTGCAACCGAGGTATGCGCCCTTAGCGGGAACCGAACCCAGGTCTCTCTCCGGACCGCAGGCCAATGCTCTAACCGCTGAGCCAAACCGGCCAGGGCCATGCTATCTTTTTAAAAACTCATTAGACAGCCCAGCCGCTGTTGAGTGTCGACCCAAGCACCAAGAGGTCGCTGGTTCAATTCCTGGTCAGAGCACATGCCCAGGTTGTGGACCAAATCCCCAGTAGGGGGCATGCAGGAGGCGGCCAGTCGATGTTCTCTCTCATTGATGTTTCTATCTCTCCCTCTCCTTTCCTCTCTCTCTAAAATCAATAAAGAAAAAAAAATTCAGTAGAGAGACCATCCATAGAGGGGCACCTGGCTCTGTGGTTCTAGACCCCAGTCATATGTTCCCAGCTAGTTTTGGACTGTGTGTGACCTATGACTAATACCCCATGTGTCAGACTCAGAGCTGGAGTTCCCAGTGTGGACACCAAAGGGGGTGTCATAAACTCTGTCTCTGTGGTGGTGGGTGGTGGGGAGACTGGGGGAGGAGAAACGGTGTGGAGCTGGGTGGTCTTTCTTGTTGGTCCACTCCTCCCCTACCTTAAGGTGAGCACCATGAGGCCAGGAGATTTTAGCTTTTTTGATCAGTGCTGTGTCCCTGGTGTCTAGCACAGAGACTGGTCAGTGTTGGCCACTCAGTAAACATTTGTTGAATGAATGAACTACACTCACTCATTTGTTCATTCACTTGCTCATCCTGTAATTCCTGGCTGACACCCAATGAGGCTAGACCATGGGCCCAGGGGCCTCAGGGGCTCACTGCCTGGGAGGAACCCATGACTTGTTAGGAGAGAGACACCAACCAAGATGAGGCTTTGTGACCCAGTGCAGAAGAGATGAAGGCAGGGAAAGTTGTTAGGGTCACAGAGGTCAGGAGAAGTTCTGAAGAGACAATGCTGAATGGCAGGTGCACTCAGGCCTATAAGTGCAAAGATGGAGGTTCAGGTCCAAATTTGAGACCCTAAGTGTGCACCCAGCCATTCCCCTCTGGGCCTTCATTTCTCACCTCTAAGTGGCAGTGACAATTCCTTTGACTAGAATGACACTGTGGAGCACCTTTGACCCTGACTGGCACAGAGTAGGTGTTCAAATGGTGGGTCCTTAATGCTCTACTGTGGGGCAAGGAGCCCAGAGAGTCTTGTTTGTTTGTTTGGTTGGTTGGTTGGTTGGTTGGTCTGTTGTTGTATGTTTTATTAGAGCCCAGAAGTCTTAGAGTCCTGTCTCTGCCACTCTGGATGTGCCACTCTGGATCTCAGCCTCTCTCATCTGTAAAATGGGGTTGTAATGGTACCCTTCCCTGGCTTGGCAGGAGGATTGCATGAGGGTACACCCTGATGTCTGGAATAGTTAGATCTTGATAATCAAGCACTAATATTTTTATTATTTATTTATTTAATTTATTTTTAGCAATAATTGTGCCTCAGATAAACCTAATTGGCTACAAAATTGCCACTGTGCAAAGCTATTTTTATTATTTAAAAAATAATGGCTTGCCCTGTCTGGTTTTGCTCAGTGGTTAGAGTGTTGGCCCACAGACCAATGAGTCATGGGTGTGTTTCCCGGTCAAGGGCACATACCTGGGTTGCAGACATACCTGGGTAACAGGTTCAATCCCCAGCCCAGCCGGGGTTCTGTGAGTGGCAGCCAGTCAATGTGTCTCTCTCGCATCAATGTTTCTCTCTCTCCCTCCCTTCTTCCCTTCCGTTCTGTCTAAAAATCAATGGAAAAAATATCCCCCGGTGAGAATTAACAAAAAAATAAAAATAATGACTTTTTTGAGATATGTAATTCATATACCATAAAATTCACCATTGTAAAGGGTACGATTCAGTGGTTTTTAGTGTATCTGTATAAGTGTGCAGCCATCACCACTATCTAATTTTAGAGCATTCTGCTCATCCCCAAAGAAACCCCATACCCCTTAGTAGTCACTCCCCATTACCTTTTGCTCTGGCAAATACTAATCTAGCTTGTCTCTCAGATTTGCCTGTTCTGGCTATCACATAAACAGAACATGTAGCCTTTGTGCCTGGTTTCTTTCACATAGTATAATATTTTCAGGATTCGTTCATGTGGTAGCACATATCAGTTTTTTATTTCTTTTTTTTTTTTTATCCTCACCCGAGGACATTTTTCCATTTTTTGTTCAGATAGAGCGGGAGGGAGAGAGAGGAAGAGAGAGAGAGAGAAACATCGATGTGAAGGGACACATTGAGTGGCTGCCACCGCAACGACCAACCAGGGTTTGGGACAAACTGCAACCGAGGTACGTGCCCTTAGCGGGAACCGAACCCGGGTCTCTCTGGACCGCAGGCCGACGCTCCAACCGCTGAGCCAAACCGGCCAGGGCTCTTTATTTCTTTTTTATGGCTGAATAATATTCCATTATTTTTAAAAAATATTTTTTACTGATTTTAGAGAGAGAAACATTTATGAGAGAAACATTGATGGGTTGCCTCCTGCACACCCCCTACTGGGGATTGAGCCTGAAACCTGGGCATGTTCCCTGACCAGGAACAGAGCCAGTGACTTCTTGGTGCATGGGACAAAGCTCAACCAACTGAGCCACACCAGCTGGGCTCCATCATTATTTTTATCCATTCATAAACATTTTGGTTTATCCATTCATATGTCGATGGAAATTGTTTCTATATTTTGGTTCTCATGAATAGTGTTGCTATGAACAGGGTGTACAGATTTTTTGTGTGTGGACATGTTTTCAATTCCCCTGGGTATATACCTAGGAGAGAAATTGCTGGGTCATGTAACATTTTGAAGACCTGCCATACTTTTTCCAAAGTGGGTGCAGCATCTTACATTCCCACCTACATTGTATGAAGGTTCCAATTTCTCCGCGTGCTCGCCAACACTTGTTAATGTCTGTCTTTTTGGTTTTAAACAGCTATTATTTTTAGCCTCCTCACCCAAGCAGCTGGAAAGTATTTGAGGATGGGGGAGAGTCTCCAGTTTACCCTAAACCCAGGGCTCACCTTGGGACCCATCGAAACCTCCCTTCCTACGCACGTCCCCTTCTAGGCACACCCTCCCAGGCAGGGCTGTGTTCGGGGCGATCGTGAGGATAAACTGGGGTGGAAAAAGGAAGGGAGGGCTCAGTTCCCGCATGTCGTCTGACCCGAGGCGGGGGATCCCTGGACACGCAGCCCTTCCCGTCTGGCTCTGCCCTGAGACGTGGGCAGGGTGAGGCCCCGCCCTTTCCTGGGAGCCAGCTCCGCCCAAACCCCTCCCCCAAAGGCGCTCCCTCCGCTTGGGGGAGGAGCAGAAACCCCGGGGGTACGCGGGTAGGAGGAGGGCGGGGAAGGCGCTGGCGCAAGACCCTGGCGTCCTGCACGCCCGATTTGGCCCTGTCCGCCTTTTCAGGGGCTTCCATTCATTCTGGGCCAAAAGGCAACTGCAGCCCCCGCCCGCAAACCGTTGTAGCCTCCAGGACTGAGGGCTCCTGGGGGCTGGCTTGGAGTGGAGAGAAGGGACCACCTTGCTCAAGACAGCGTTGGGGATGGAGGAGAGAGGGGACAGATGAACGGTTCTGGGGATGAGAGCGTCTTGTCCTCGGGCGAGGGTCTGGGGACCCTGAAGGAGGTTTTGCTATTTCCAGAGTGGCTGGGTGCACAGAATAAAAATTTGAAGGGTCTAGATTGAGGACATGGTAGACCCAGTGTGACGTTAGGTGTAGGTGCCCAGGATGACATTCTGGAAGGCGCAGAAAGAGTCTGGGGGCCCCGACATTAAAATGTTGGTGCACAGGATGTAATTCTGGGGGCGCAGATTAGATAGGGTCTGGGTGCGCAGTATGACATTCTGGGGTGCACAAAGTGAGGGCCTGGGGACTCTCGAGTGAGTCTGGGGGCCTGGCATCAGGGCCAATGCCCCCAGGAACGAGCTCTAGAGGACCTTGGCCCAGAGCCGGGAGGCGGCTCCGGGCGGCGCCGCGGGGGACCGGGTGGGGGCCTGCGGCTGGCCAGAGGCGGAGAAGCGGGGGGTCGGGGTCCCTCCCCCTGGCGCGGGCTCAGGAATCCGCTGAGGGGCGGGCGGAGGCGCCGGGGTGGGCCGCGCCGCGGCGGGCGGGCGGGGGGCGCTTCCTGGGGCCGCGCGTCCAGGGAGCTGCGCCGTCCGCCCGTCCGTCTGCTCGCAGGCCCTGCCGGAGCCAGCCGAGCCGCCGGAGCCGCGGGCCGCGGGGGCGTCGCGGGCCCAAGTGAGTGACCGTCCGTGGGGGGAGGGCGCGAGCCGGAGTCTCGGCCCAGTCGGCGTCAGTGAGGAGCGAGAGGCCCGCGATCCTCTGCCCGCACCACTGTGGGACCGGGCGGGGGCGGGGCGGCCCTGGGCGGGAGGGCCCCGAACCCCGGCCTGCGTGAGGAGTTAGCCTTCCGCCCTGGGAGGCTCCGGGGTCCTAAGTGCGGTGTCGAGCGGGAGGCGGCTGGGGCCAGGGCTCCGAGTCCTGGTACAGGGAATGGGGCTGCCGTGGCAGAGGCGCCCTGACCCCTGCTCACCACCTCCCAGCCCCAGGATGCTCCCCTTCGCCTCCTGCCTCCCCGGGTCTCTACTGCTCTGGGCGCTGCTGCTGTTGCTCTTGGGGGCAGCGTCTCCCCAGGATTCGGAGGAGCCCGACAGCTACACGGTGGGGACCGTGGGGCCACTGGCCTGGGATGGGCTGGGCAGGGACACAGAGACCAGGATTCTGGGGTGGCTGCTGCTGGGGAAGATTCTCCCCTCCCCTGGTTGGTGGAGCAACTGGGGCCATTGTTTGGAGCAGCCCCTGGAGGGTGGCTAGGCTCAGGGCCCTGGTCTTGGCCTGGTCAGTTGGAGGGGACAGGGGGTGAACACTGGCCACCGCTGGTCCCCTTGTAGGAATGCACAGATGGCTATGAGTGGGACCCTGACAGCCAGCACTGCCGGGGTGAGTGTGTCTGGGGGACTGACCCACCCCCAGGAACTGGGAAAGGGATTGCAACCCCAGCTGTAAGAGCTGCAGCAGGAGGCCAATGGCCTGTCCTCTGCCCAGCTCTGTTTTGCCAAGGCCAGCTCTGGTTCTCTGGGGGCCAGCTCAGCTAGGGGTGGAGAAGCCATCCAGGCCCCTCCTTCTCAGAGAAACCCAGGACACCCTGCCCCCACCTTTAAATAAGCAGGAGAGCTACAGGGCACTGCCCTGAGGAGCACCTTCTCACGTCTCTAATCACTCTCCTACCCAGCTGTGTCCTATCACATCCCAGGAGGGCAGTGTCTGCGGGGGTGGGTAAGGAGGCCTGCACTAGCACTCGTGGGCTGAGCCAAGGCCAGAGCTTTGGGGAGGGATAGAAACTCCTTTAGGGACAAGAGAATGGGGTGGCTGTTCCCACAGTCACCCAGTCATCAGCCCTGGCAGGTCCTGGAGAGGGGTCCTGGGCAGGAAACCTTAGCTTGTTGAGTAGAGAGGGAAGGCCCTGCAGGGGTCACACAGCTTAGAGAAGGCCAAGCTGGGCTGTTGCCTCCCACCCCCTCCACGGCCAGCCCAGAAAATTGGCTGTGCCCAGCAGGCCCCTCTCTGCAGATGTCAACGAGTGCCTGACCATCCCTGAGGCCTGCAAGGGGGAAATGAAATGCATCAACCATTATGGGGGCTACTTGTGCCTGCCCCGCTCAGCTGCCGTCATCAACGACCTGCATGGGGAGGGACCACCACCGCCAGTGCCCCCTGCTCAACACCCCAACCCCTGCCCACCAGGCTATGAACCTGATGACCAAGAGAGCTGTGTGGGTAAGGGTCACTCTGGCACAGAGCCTTACAGTCCTCCTACCAGGCGTCTATTACTGCATGTTAAAAACTCAGACCTCATGTTCCTCCCTTGCTCAAAAGCCTCCTCAGAGTCACTGGGATAACGTCTGGAGCCTTGCCCAGACCCTCACTTTGTGTGGGACCTGCCACAGGTGTCTCTAGCTCCTGTCCCACTACCCTAGCCAAACTTCGGGACCCTCCCCTCCATTGCTGCAGACACACTGTAAGAACTCTGCCTTTTAGTCTCTGCTCCCTACCCCCTTCCTGATCTGACCCCATCCCTGGGCACCATGGGCCTTGGAGGAAGGCCCTGGAATCAGTGCTCCTAGGAATATGGATAGAGCTTTGTTTCCTGTGCTTCCCTGGCACGGGCTCTCACAGGTTAGGGGTGCCTTTCCTGTTGGCTCCCAGGCTGGTGGACTGTTATTTGTGCTATTGGGAGGGTCTAATCCATGTGTTTCTATTTTGGGGGTGCATCACCTTCATGCATGCATGTGAGTGGTTCCTGACCTGTGTATACTTAAACATTGTGGTGTCTGTCATGTGGGGTAGTGCATGGGCTCCCAGACAGGGGCTGAGTGGTGTCTCCTGCAGATGTGGACGAGTGTGCCCAGGCCCTGCACGACTGCCGCCCCAGCCAGGAGTGCCACAACCTGCCTGGTTCCTACCAGTGCACCTGCCCTGACGGCTACCGCAAGATTGGGCCTGAATGTGTGGGTGAGTCCAGGAGCAGCCTGGCTAGTTTCTGCTCTGTGTCCCTGCCCTGGCTCTCACTCTGACACCTGATCCCCATTCCAGCCCACCCCCAGGCCCCACCACCTCTGTCCCAGACAGAGCACTGTCTGGGTGTATGTGAGTCCTGGCTGATCTGACCCGCCCAGTCCCCATACACAGACGGAACTATGGATACTGAGGCCTTGAGTCCCAGCCAGCTTGGGCCCCACCTGACTTCTGCCCTCTGCCCTCCTTCCCCTACCTCCATCCCAGATATAGACGAGTGCCGCTACCGCTACTGCCAGCACCGCTGTGTGAACTTGCCAGGCTCCTTCCGCTGCCAGTGCGAGCCAGGCTTCCAGCTGGGGCCCAATAACCGCTCCTGCGTGGGTGAGGCTGGGCTGGGCTGGGCCAGGCTCCTGGGTCCTGGGCAAGGTGGGGTGGGAAGCTCCCTTCCTGACCAGCCCAGGTGAACAAGTGAAGTGGGGGCTCTGGGCTGCTCCTTGGCTTTCACTCCATTTTTTCTGGCACCCCCAGATGTGAATGAATGTGACATGGGGGCTCCATGTGAGCAGCGCTGCTTCAACTCCTATGGAACCTTCTTGTGTCGCTGCCATCAGGGCTACGAGCTACACCGGGATGGTTTTTCCTGCAGTGGTGAGTTCCGCTCCTGCCAAGTGTTCCTCCATTGGTCCTCCTGCATCATGCTGTGCTTCCTGCCACACAGTCTTCTATTTGATACCTCCATGTCCCATTGATTCTGCACCCATGTACCTACTGTATACTCCACCTCCAGCTGGCCTCTGGGCACCTGCAGACCTGCCCATCACAACTCCCAGCCTGGTGGGGAAGGCACAGAGGGGAGCAGTCATGTCCCCTCTGAAGCTCAGTGGGGAGACTCCCTGGCAATCAGGGTGACCTGCATTTGAATCCTGGATTATGAAAAGTCACTCTTCTCTCTGTACCCATCTATTCGTCTGTAAAACAGGTTGTATTGAGAGCTAAGTGGGAAAATGAGAACAAACATGCTTTACCAGGTCCCAAGCAGCAACACTTTATTTTAAATGTTTTTATTGATTTCAGAGAGAAGGGAGAGGGAGATAGAAATATCGATCAACTGCCTCCTGCACACCCCCTCCTGGGGTTCAAGCCTGAAACCTGGACATGTGCTCTGACTGGGAATCAAACCAGGAAACTCTTCCTGTGTGGGTTGATGCTCAACCACTGAGCCACACTAGCCAGGCATTTCTTTTTTAATCCTCACTGGAGGATATTTTTCTATTGTTTTCTGGAGTGGAAAGGAGAGAGGAGAAAAGAGAGAAACTTCGATGTGAGAGAGACGCATCGATTGGCTGCCTCTTGCACGACCCCCACCAGGGCCAGGGATCAAACCTGCAACCCAGGTATGTGCCTTTGATTGGGAATCAGACCTGAGGCCCTTTGGTCCATGGACCTACAGTCTAACCGCTGAGCCAAACCAACCAGGGCCCAAGCAGAAACACTTTAAAGTGAATACCATTTATCCAGAACCTTCCCTGTGCAGGGCACTTCCCTTACCTACTTGGCCTTATTCAATCCTACCAACAATCCTATGAGGTAAATATAATTCTTTCCTTTCTCTGCAAAACAAGGATGTTAATATCTCCTTCAAGGTTTGTTGAGAGGCTCACAAGAAAATAGTAAGCGTGAAGTCCTTCAACAAAGAGAAGTTAAGTGACTTGCCCAAGGTCACACTAGGGTGAGCCAGGGCCAGGTCTCCATCCCAACTTCTCATTCCATGCCAACTGGCCACGTACCCTGTTTATGTTATGCTTTGCTGCCGAATAAGGCCCCAGGGTACCTGGCTCAGGACTAGGCAGCATGAGGGAAACCTGAGTAGAAAACCTGGCTTGTGCTGGAGCAGATCAGTTGGCAGGAGGTGACTGTGTGCTTGGGGTGGTTGTGGGTTGCAGGAATTGGGCAACCCAAGGTTGGGCTCTCAGGGCTCAGCTAGTCTAACCTACTCATTTTACTGACAGGGAAATTGAGGTGTCCAAAACTCAATCAGCAGGATTTAAAATCAAGCCTCTAGTGCTGTCATTTACTTTCATCTTACAGTTGGCAAGCTGGGCAGTCTGGGCAGACCTTTTTTTTTTTTTTTTTTTTTTTTTATCCTCACCCGAGGACATTTTTCCATTTTTTGTTCAGATAGAGCGGGAGAGAGAGAGAGGAAGAGAGAGAGAGAAACATCGATGTGAAAGGGACACATCGAGTGGTTGCCACCCGCACGACCAATCAGGGCCGGGGACAAACTGCAACCGAGGTACATGCCCCTAGCGGGAACCGAACCCGGGTCTCTCCGGACCGCAGGCAGACGCTCCAACCGCTGAGCCAAACCAGCCAGGGCCAGACCTTTTTTTTTAATTCTCTGTACCACAGCTGTGCTTTGCTTGGCTCTTTCACCCCCCTCTGCCTTCCCACACGGAGCCTAACATGGGGCTGGACTCTATATACGTTTATGGGACTGAATTGAGAGAATTGCCCTTGACCCAGTTTTCATCCCTGTTCTTCCACAGATATTGATGAATGCAGCTACTCCAGTTACCTCTGTCAGTACCGCTGCGTCAACGAGCCAGGCCGCTTCTCCTGCCACTGCCCACAGGGCTACCAGCTGCTGGCCACGCGCCTCTGCCAAGGTACAGGTTGCCCAGGTGGAGTGGGCAGGGTGGTGTCAGGGGTTAGTGGCCTGATGTTCAGGTTCCAGCCTCTCTCCCCTGGCACAGACATTGACGAGTGTGAGTCCGGCGCACACCAGTGCTCTGAGGCCCAAACCTGTGTCAACTTCTATGGGGGCTACCGCTGTGTGGACACCAACCGCTGCGTGGAGCCCTATGTCCAAGTGTCTGACAAGTGAGTCAACCCCCCCCCCCCACATACACACTAGAACTCCCATTGGGTGCTGTGGTTGGCAAGAGTCCCCAAGGGTTGGTGGGAATTGTAGTCCATGACAACCATATACACTGTTACAGAGTGGGAAGATCCATTTGGGATCCTTAATTTTGGAGGTGGGCCGAATTTGGGGAAGGGGCAAAGACCTCATTCATGTCCCCTTATCGGGACCCCTAGTCGCTGCCTCTGCCCAGCCTCCAACCCCCTGTGCCGGGAGCAGCCCTCATCCATTGTGCACCGCTACATGAGTATCACCTCGGAACGCAGTGTGCCCGCAGATGTATTCCAGATCCAAGCGACTTCCGTCTACCCTGGCGCCTACAATGCCTTTCAGATCCGTGCGGGAAACTCACAGGGGGACTTCTACATTAGGGTAAGGCTTTCCCCTAACCCTACTCCTCAAATGACATGCATAATCCAAAATTGAATTCCAGGAAACCTTAAATGGGAGATTTCGTTTATGCCACCATGCCCCGCCTCTTCTCAAAGCCCCACCCCCGGGAGGCGAGATTTCTGTAGAAAGGTAGGGAGGAGTTCTAAATTCCCTTGGAACAAACTACAGATTGTTAAATGTACTTCTAACAAGACACTCAGAATCTGGGCTTAGAGTCCCCCTACTGGTTTCCTATCTGGCCCCAATTTTTCTAGCCTTAGAACAAGTAACTGACATGAGAGGCCTTCTGAGGTTACAGGCAGAGTCCATGAAGGGCAAGCAAGTGGAGCTGGGCCTTAGCAGGGTAGTGGGGGTTGGTACAGCCGACTAGGGTCAGAAAGTCAACTCTGCTGGTAAAGCTGTTAGGAGGGAGGGGTCCAGCTGTGACTCAATGAGAAGGGCACATGGGTTTGTCTGGTATCAGTGCTGGTTTTCTTTCTGAAATTGAAAACTGAAGGGGAGTCAGCCTGCTCCAGGTCACCAAAGGCCCCACCACTCTCCAAAATCTCACACCTGGCCCTGAATCATCAGTTGACCCTGGTTAGACAAGAACTAGCTGGAAGAGTGGGAAGAATAGATTTCTGAAGGCAGGAGCTTGGGTGCAGGAGATGAGATGTAAGAGTCATGGAGCCGGATGACAGCCTGGTGTCACAGCCTGGCCAGGGCTCAATTTCACTTCGTAGCCAACTGGTTGTAGGTACAAAACATGGAGCAGGGAGGTGGTGCTGGTGGAGGATCCTGGCATGAATGTTGATGCAATCTACATGTCCCCCCACCCACTGTGCCCTGCAGCAAATCAACAATGTCAGCGCCATGCTGGTCCTCGCCCGGCCCGTGACGGGCCCCCGGGAGTATGTGCTGGACCTCGAGATGGTAACCATGAACTCCCTCATGAGCTACCGGGCTAGCTCTGTACTGAGACTCACCGTCTTCGTGGGGGCCTACACCTTCTGAGGAGTGGGGAGAGTTCTCAGGGAGGGGGAGATCCCTGCAGCCGAGGAGCCTGGGGCTCAGGGATGACCGTGTTCTGCTAAAAGGGAAGATGCTGTTGTGAAGGGTAGAGAGAGAAAGGCAATAAAGGGAGAAAGAAGGAGTCCTGGTGGCTGAGGTGGGTGGGTAACACTAGAGAACCCCAGACTGGGGAAGGGGCCAGGCTTGTGGGAGGTGGGCCAAGTCTGCCTAAAGTGGGGGTCCGACCTATTGACAGAAGTTGGGACCTGTGTCCCCAAAGCTGGGATTGGTCTATGTACCATGGGCATCAGCATCACCCTGAGAAGGGAGAAGGTAATGAGGCTGCAGACTCCAGGCCTCAGAAGTTTGGTCTTGGCTGGTTTTCAGGGAGCCTAAGAGACCCTGCTCTAGATAGTACCAGGAGGCTCTGGGTTTCAATCCTACTTTGGCCTCAAACTAACAATTTGGACAAACCCTGGGCCTCAGTTTTCCAATCCATAAAATGGGGCAACTGGACTGTTAGTGCTTTTTAAACTTTTCTTTTCCAAGCTACAGAACCTTTTAGCAAAGGAAATGTTATTTGATTAGGGACCCTCTGATGACATAAACTAGATTCAAAGTTGCAACACCTCAGACTCCATCCATCTCCCTGCCAGTCTCAATGCTCCACCAGGAAACTCCAGGGTCCTGAGTAGCTCAGTTTAAAAACCACCTGGGTATTTTACAAGGCCCTGGGGCGTGGCATCTCCTCCACAACACATTAAGCTGCAAACTTAGATTTTTATTGTAGCCCAAAAGATTCTGGTTAAAAGGCTGGCTAGCCTGGAAAGATAGGGGCTGGGGTCCATCTCATGGCATAGTTCAGGTCAGGGGGCTGTGGCTGCAGTAGAGCTGGGACAAGGTCCTGCTGAGAGCGGGCCCCAGATTCCTGCATGAAGAGAGAGGCTAACAAGGGTCAGGTCCTGGACTACAGCAGATTTGGTCCCAGCCATTCAGTCCAAGTTCTGTCCCTTGCCTCACCTCTGCAGTCGCCCGCACTTGATGGTGCTCAGCAGCATCTCCTGTTCCTTGGGGGTGGCGCAGGCATCATAGGCAGCCAGTAGGCTAGGGGTGGAGTGGAGCGTTTGAGTTTCTAAGGCTTGACGATGGCTAACTGCTGGCCCATCTGAGCAGCTTGGGCCAAAGTCATAGGAGGCAGGAAGGGGTCAGCATTGATTAAAGGGAATCAGAACCACTGGTGTACTTCCTGAACCTGGCATTCAAGGCCCTGCCCCATCCTGCTCACCCTCCCTTCCTGCTCTTGCAAATGTTCTCTAAGTTCTTGGCCCAGTTTTCATGGCCCAACCCCTCCCCTCCAGGTTGCCTTTGCTGCTGCACCAAGTGGAATGTTTCCCTCCCTCCTGTGGGCTCCCCAGTACCTGAGACACTGTGTGGTCCTGGCTAGCACCCTTCCTTACCACCCAACCTCCATGAACACCCAGGATCCAGCTGAGTCTGTCCATCTCGAGGTCTGTACAGCCCTCACAGAACCAGGGCTTCCACAAAGCACTGGTTAAGCTGAATTCCATGCAGGGAAGGCAGGGGCAATGGACCCCAATGGGCTCTGTGGGGGCCTACCTGGCAGGAGTGCTGTACCGATCCACCAGGGCTGCTGCCTTCTCCCCACTCACTCCTCGCACCTGCATCAGCTGTCGGGCGAAGACCTCCCTCACAGACTGGGCCTGGGGTCACGGCAGGACTGTATTAGGGGTTGTCTGGGGCTGAACCACATTGAGGAGGACCTGGGCAATGGCAGTACCTTGTTTTTGATGGCTCCCGTGTTGAAGTCATTGAAGGTGAGGAGTGAGCAGAGAGGATTTGGGGAGGGCCCAGCTCCCGATTCGGAGTCCCCTGGGGCTCCCCAGGGGCGACTGCGTAGGGTGTGGCCCTGAGGGGAGAGGGGACTGAGGCCAGGCCTGAGCTCTAGAGAAAACCCCCCAGCCAGTTCTTGCCGGATCCTAGGCAAGGAGTGGGCCAACCTGGGTTCTTACTCACTTTGCCTTTCTTGAGGGAGCACAGGGCCCAAGAAAGGGACCAGTGTCAGACATGTGCACCTGCTTACCTGGTAGAGTCTCTCCAGGCCCCGTGTCAAGAGGGCCAGGTAAGCAGCTGACTCCTTAATATCTGCTGTGCGCTTCACAAAGAAGCCATCAATGACCTGGGGAAGAGGACCCAACAGAGAGAGATAGCTCCTGGCCCGAGCCTCAGACCACAGAGTCCCTGCCAGCCTGGCCCTGCCCTCTCAGCTCACCTGAGTATTGGTGACAGCTTGCAGCAGCGTACTCTCAGGAAGGCTGAGGTTGTGCACTGAGCCATGTTCTTCCACCAAGTACACTCGGCGCCGCAGGCCACAGCGCTTCAGCCGGAACTGGGGAAACAGAGGGGTGGGGGGTTGGGGTCAGGCCTGGATGTCCCTAGGCCGGGCCATTTCTCATGTCACACTCAATATCCTCATGGGACACTGGTCCCACCAGTTCACCTTCTTGTCCTAGTCTTCCTACTTGTCTGAGTGGCCTCCACACCTTCATTCATACTGTCACTCTTGCAGGGAAAGCCCATCCAACATTTTTAGCTATGCCCATTTTTCAAGCCTCCCTCATCCTGTACGTGGTCTAATTATGGGGCCAGCCCAGAAGCCAGTACTGAGAAACAGCGATTCCACTTCTGGATCTTTGCACCTTGTTCTGCAGTCTGCAGGGGCTGGACACTCCAGGGGTCTTTAATATGCTCCTCAACCCAGCCAGGCACCCTGTGCCCCTGGAGGGGACTGAAGGGGTCTGATTTTGGGGCTGCCCTGGAGCAGCTCTAATGGGGTATGGCTGGAGTTGTGGGAACTCTGCCTTGAGGATACCCAGAAGTGCCCCCTGGATTCCTCCCTGCTGCGAAGGAGACCCCAGAGCAGGCAGGAAATAGTGGGTTTGGTGAGGCTGATAAAGGTACCTTCTGTTCCCGGAAGCGACCATCGATGATGCTGCTACACAGGTCATCCAGCCTCTTGCGCTCCACAATGTGGTCCAGGACTAGTTCCCCAGGTCTTGCTGCCAAGAGGCCAAGGATCCCATTGGCTCACGTCCCCCCACCCACCATGCCCTGCCTCTGACACCCACCTGAATATCCACACCCCTTACCCGGGTCTCTGGGCCTGGTCTCCTGCGCCACCCACACGAAGTCCCCAACATGCAGTTTGCGCACTGTGTGCGTCACGTGCAGCCGCTGCAGCTGGCGGAGTAGCTCTGGCCTGTGCCCAGCTCTGGAATTGCATGGTGGAGACTTAGGTCAGGGTAGGTCAGTAACACCCCCCAGCATCCTCTCCCTCACTTCCCCCCACCTCACTCACCCCTTGGCCTCACCAACATCCACACACAACACCACCCTGTACTCTCCAGGCCTCAGCTCCAGTAGTGGCTGCTGGACTCTGCCTTCGCTGGCACCACTACAGGGAGGTGGGGAGGGAGAGCAGGGTATGAGGCCAGAACCTCAGTGCCAAGGCAGTTTCCCTCCAAACCCAGTGGAAGTGCAGCCACAGCTCAGCTGTAGGTGATGGAGACGGGTGGGGTGTTGGCCTCATTTCCAGTACTCCTGCTTCCCTTCTCTTTCCATCCTCCCTCTCCCTGCCCCCTTCCTCACAGCTCAGCTGAGGCTGATCCTGGCACTTCTGGTTCCTCCCCAGAGGGCTCTTCTGGCCCAATGGGCACATTCAGCGAGCTCAGGCCCTCTGACTCGGCCAACTTCTGGGCCAGCTCCAGACCCTCCGGGGTCAGTGAGTACCTGGTAGGCGGAGAAGATGAACACAGATCTCCCTTCACTCATACCTGGCAGGCTCTCCTGCTTGCTCCCAGCCAGGCTGGCCTCATTATGCCCTTGGCGACCCTGCACATATAAGTCCAGTGGCTTCCACCCCCAACACTCCAGGCTGTGTTCTCGCCACTCAAGTCCGCTTCCTCTGGACCTGCCCAGGGCTGTTTCTCAAGTCTGCAATAAGTATGTCTCAGACAAACTTGACTTCCTCCCAACTTCATCCATACTGTTGCCTTCTCCCTGGAATGCATCTTTTCTGCATCTCTACCCTCAAAATTCTAAGACGTGTCAAATGCCACGTCCTCAGCAAAGCCTTTCTGCTCTTCCAATAATTTGTGGCACCTCCCCTCTCTGTTCCATCTCAGATCCTCCTGGTGGCTCCTAGGGGTAAGGCCTCCCCCAACTTCAACATTATGAAGCCTAGGAATTGCTGAGTGACTACAGGCCCTACTCAGAACACCATGCATGGTCCCCCTCCCTGCCTCCTGCACCCCTGTATTTGATCCCACCTGGCTGGCTGGTGTGTCCTGAAGACCAGGTTCCTATGGAGGAGGGAGCGGAGGGCTGGCCAGGGTCGAGCACTCACAGGGGCTACCTGTCCACAGGGTAGGACACTCTTAGAAAGCCCTTGGTGCTGCCACGTGTCCAACTCCCTGTGCCCCATACCACTGCTTGCTCCTGAGAAGGGCAGCCTCTGGGGGGCTCAGGGTCAGATCCAGAGCCACTTGACCCCATCCGTCCACACCTCAGTGCTCACCCCAGGAACATCCTGGGCACACCTCTGCAGCAGCTCCTCCTTGGTCAGGAAGCTGTGGCCACTAGGGTTCTGTAACCAAAGGAGACTCAGTGCCTGGGCCAGTCTCCTCCAAGAACCTCATGCCCCGCTGCCTCGGTTCCCCTGGCTCCAGGTGTAGTCACACACTCACCAGGTGTTCTCTGTAGAGCAGCAGCAGTACTGCTCGAGCTCCCGAGTGCCGAGCTGGCCAGTAGCTGCTAGAGCTTCCCACTTTGGGCTGGGATGGCACCTGAAAGGTACAGAGGGACTTTGGAACACAAAAGCCAGAGAGACACGCATTGTAGACCAAAACCCTAGCTGGGCTGAGGTTCAGGTTCTATCTCAGCAGGCTGCATGGCCCTGGATAAGTCACTGAGCTGCCTCTCAGGTTCCACATCTGTAAAATAGGCCAGATGATGGGATGATCCCCTGCAAAGCTGAAATGAGACTATGGAGAGTTGTGGGAAGTTGTGTAATCGACCTGCAGCCTCAATTCTACCACCCACTGAAGCACAGAGGTGATAACACAAGAAAACTCAGTAACAGCAACCCCCACAATTTACTGGCCTTGGCCTGCTAAATAGCTTGATCATGCAACTCTCCCAACAGACTCTATTATCAATCAACATACTCATCTACGGGTGCAAAAACTATTAGAAAGAATAACTAATTTGCCCACGGCCAGGCATTACTGGTGGGGAAATCTGGATCCAAGCCTGCTAAATCCCCCAAGGCAGAACATCTTACTGCTAGTGCTCCCACTTTTCCTTGCCCCCTCCTCACTGGCATGGAAGAGTCCGGGACTCCGGCAGGTGGCTCTTCCGGGGCTGGACTCTTTGCTCCAGATGAACCTGGGGCATGATCACCTGCGGAAGCAGAAGAAGGTCAACCCCAGATCGCACGGAATCCAGCAGGTGGGAGGGTCCGGGACGCTGCCAGCTCATATGATAGCTGAGAGCGGCGAGACTCTGAGAGCCTCTAGCTGGTCCAAGGTCAAGCAGCAACTTGGACAGGAGTGGGTAATTAAGGTATCCCAGGTGGTTATGGAGGATGCACCTGGAGGAGACTCGGGAAACCACCGACCCCTGCCCCCAGCGCTCACCGCCTGATGATTGGTGCTGCTGCAGCCGCTGGTCCAGCATCCGGCAGAGCCCGTCTCCGAAATGCCGTAGGATCTTAGCTTCTTTGCCGCTGCGCAGGGGAAGTGGGTAACGCCGGAGTGAGCGCAGCGCCTGGCGGGGGGTTGGGAGGTTGGGGTACAAGGTACGGCACCGAGTCAGGGCGGGCCTGGTGGTCTGGCTCCGCCAGCACCTGCTCCATCAGGCCCGGCTGGGACCCACCTTTTGAAATACGAATTGTGTGCGTCGCCCCCTGCTGGCTGCCTCGTCCCGCCACTCGGTCAGCCAACGTACAAAGAGCGGGTTGGGGCAAATCGGCAGCGGGCGTTTCCGGCCCAGGCGGACCGGCACCGCCATGGGCCCCAGGACTGGTCCTTTGGCGCCTCACGCCGGTGGGACTGGGACGCCACCAGTTCTGGACAAAGGATTCAACACCTGGTTCAGAGGGTGAGGGAGGGACCTCTCCAAACACGTGGTCTGATGAGGGTCACTAACTAGAAGATAGTCTCCTGCTGCCCTCCCAGTCTCTGTACAACTCTTAAGACATACAGTGCTGTCCCGACGGCCTTCCAGCCACCACCCACTTCCAGTCTTTTGGACGCGGCCCCCGGAGCCTTAACCCGCCCCTTCCTCTCACCACAGATTCTGGAGCGGTCTTCTTTGTGCAAGCGAGAGAAAGGGGGACAGCGCCCCCAGTGGCCAGGAGGGCTGGCTGGGGCTGTGCTTAACCAAGTAACCTGAAGCTGTCAGTTTCAGCCTCACCCTAGCGGAGGAGGCTGGAGAAACTGGGCTTTGCGAAGAGCGCGAGAGGTGGGGTGTGGGGGGCAAACAGGTGCAGCTACATTTTCAGTAGAGATATCTAGGAAGGTGTACAGGGAATAAAGACACAAAGGTGACGCAGGAGGAGCTTAAGGACCCTCTAAGGAAAAGGGGGTGGAGAAAACGACACAGGGCAGTGGGGAAGTGGTGCGAAGTCTAGGACGTGCAGGGAAGGCCAAAGGACGGAGGGAGGGGGACAGAGGTGCTGCGCGTCCTGTCAGGTGGGGGGGGGGGGGTGGCTGAGATCCGCCGGTAGTTAGATTTGGAGGAGCAGTTTGAAGGTAAGAAGCCCGGACATGGGTGGAAAGGAACAATTGGACGTTTTAGCGACTCATTAAGATGAAATCTACGCAGAGGTCCCAGGTTGAGGGACAATACGTTCTTGTTTATTTTTTTTGTTTTTATCCTCGCCTGAGGACATTTTATCTTCAGATACAGAGAGAGGGAGGAAGAGACAGAGAAACATCGACATGAGACATATCCAGTGGTTGCCACCTACACAACCCCAACCGGGCCGGGGACAAACTGCAACCGAGGTACCTATCCTTAACTGGAACCGAACCCGAGACACTCTGGTCTGCGGGCTGACGCTCTAACCGCTGAGCCAAACTGGCCAGGGCAATACGGTCTTGTTTGAAACGTGTAGCAAAATCACAAGAAGTTGAGCACAAGGGTCTCAGCCAGGGACTTGGGGCAGCTACCTGCAATTATTACGGAAGTCTCGAGGTGCTGGTCTGAATCTGCAGGCCTTTCAGACTCCGCCCAGCCTCGACCCAGCTCCCCCAGCCTACTCAGAATTCCCGCCTCCCTCACGACGCTGCCTTATAAGGAGCCTCTAGCCAGCGTTAGGGTTGGTCCCGCCCCCTCCAGTCTCTTGTCCTAATAAGGACATCTAGGCCATCCCGTGGCTAGGGGCGGGAGGGAGCGTCTCCAGGGTAACTTCGATTTCCCCCTCCCCCTCCCCGTTGCTCTGGGAAACTCCAAGGCTGAAAACAGGTGGAGCCAGCCTCTTCTGGCAGGGTCGCTAGCGAAAGGCGGGGGTCGCCTGTGGCCTTCACCTGGGGCTCCCCAAAGCTCGGTTGGTGGGCGGTGCGGCTCAAAGTCCCTGACTACAACCCCCGGCATGCTCTGCGAGGTACCCCACTCCTGGGCGTTACTCCCAGATCGCGAAAACCGGGCTTCCAGCTCTTCATTTACAGCCTTTATTCCACATATGGAGTCTATAGCTCTAGTTCCCTTGTTTGCCATCCTGTTTTCTCTGCCTGCACAGTGTGAGGCCATGGTCTTTGTTCGAGGCCAACAAAATCTTCCAGAGTCCTTCATCCGTTTTTTTTGTGAAGCATTATGCTCCCGCAGAGCTTGTCTCAATTTTTGTAGGTCTTAAGTGAACCATATTCCTGGTTATTAACTCGAGAACGAGATTCAAGTATGATTTAATATCTATTTCCTCTTTCCGCTGTCTAGTAAAAGGCATATAATCCTTGGACTAAATGCACAAACCCCTGCCTCGTGAATTTGCCAAATATTTAAAACAAGAACAAAGCTCTGTTTTAAAAAAATTTCCTTGTAGCCTTTCCCTTATTTTCTTGTTCTTTTATTCAAGTTAGATATGTTCTCAGGAGACAAGACTGGCTTTGCACATGGAGAGTACTCAATAAATGTTTATTAGATCGAAGGCGCCTTATAGTTGGAATTCTCCTTGCTCAAGGACTGATTTCCAAGTTAATGAATAGTTTGCTTCAATTCAGAAAAGAAAATATTAACTCACTTAAAATCTTCAGACCAAGTGACCCAAGAAGTGCCAAAATGGTTCTTAGGAAAAACCGTTTCGCAACGAGCCGAGGAGCCGCAAAGTCTGGGCTCATTTTCGGGTCTATTACCGAGGGCCGAACGCCGACACCTTTCTCAGCTCAGAACCTTCCTGGGAAACCCGGCCAATGGGCGCGCGCTCCGTGCCATAGCCCCGCCTTTCTCGGACTACATTTCCCGGTGTGCAGTGTGGCGGGCTGACGAAAAAGACTGCTACCCAGCGAGCCAGAGGACGGCGCAGAACCCTCGGACTTCATTACCCGTCGGCCCGTAGTGGGAGCGCCGGAAGCCCGCCCCGCCCCTCATTGTGCGGCTCATACTAAACGGAAGGGGCCGGGAGAGGCCGCGTTCAGTCGGATCCCGGCAGCAGCTGCAGCGGCTCTCGGCTTTTTAGGCTCTTCTTACTCTCTCCTTTTCGCTTCCGGAAACATGGTGAGCGCCAGGCCACGGTGCCTGAGGGGAGGCGGCTGCGAATCGGCCGTCTGCGCGCGCGGGAGGTAACGGGGAAGCGACGTCGGCACCCCCTCCCCCAGCTCCCCGAGCGGGATGAGGGTCTCATGCTGAGGGGCGGTCGGTGCTGGGATGCGCGTGCGCGCCCGCGGGCGCCGGGGAGGGCCGCCTCGAACGTCGCTCGCGCGCCCCCTGGGCTCCCCTCCCCTCCCCCACCCCCTGGTGCGCCCGCGCGGACACCGACCGTGGGGGAGGGGTCCGAGGCGCGCGCGTACTCGTCCCTCGAGGAGCAGCCGGTGTCGCGCGCTGCAGTGGGGCCGAAGTGAATCGGTTCACGGGAACGCGCGTTCGACGGAGCACGCGGTATCCAAACTCACCCCGGGGGCGGCAAGGGAAAAGCGCGCGAGCGGTCTTGGCGCGCGCGCCCCACCCAAGGGCTGTTCTTGTCTCCGCGTCACCCTCCCTCGGCAGGCGGGTCAGTGTCGAGAGCAGGTGGTAGGGATGCCTGCGTCCAGGAGGGGTGGGGGCGGCGGGGTCTGGGCGCGGGCACTTGGGATTAGGAACTTGCACGGCGCTGCACGGAGCGTGCAGCACAGGGGCCGTGGCCCTGCTTCAGAGCGAGCGAGCCCATAAAGCGAGCTGGGTTCTCCGCCCTGTACACCCGGCAAAGGCTGAACGGCGCTGTCCGTCGGCGCGTGCGCACACGTTCAGGCCCGGCCGCTGGGCCCAAAACCCTGGACGAGCGGGGCCGTAGGCTTTCCCGGATGGGGCCTGAGGGTGGAGCCGAGTTTAGGGAAGTGACCCAGGCGGGCACCGCCCGGAAACCACCCCGCCCCCTGCGTTCGGCCCTAGGGCTGCGAGAACCGAAGGTCGTGTAACTTGCCCGGGCTCGGGCCTGCAGCCGAAAGGGCTGATATGGCAGCCAGTAAAGGCGAGTCTTTGAGGTTGAGGCCTCTAGTTAGAAGTTTTTCTGGTGAGGGAGGCCGAGTCTAGCCGATCTCCTTTCCCCGCCTACTCCGGAAGCGGCGGAGTCACGTGGCCCACTTCCTCTGCAGTTCCGGGAGGGGGGCCGCGGAAGATTTCGTCGTGGACTGTCGTTGCCTTCCCGGGTGTCCCCCAACACGAACTGTAATAAAAGTTGAAAGGGCTCTGAAGGACCGTGGCGCTTGAGTTTGGCCTGTTGATTTGTATCAACGACCTTTAGGGCCTATGTTTTTTCCAAAGAATGGGAAGTTGTCGAATAGGGTTTGTCTAATTATAGAGGTCTTCCTCGTCTTGCTTTGGATGAGGAAGACCCCAACAGAGAAGAGGATAATTTGTGTAATAACTGTATTGAGCAGTTCTGATGAGCTTGCTAGAGCTCTTGAGCACATTTGGTGTCCCATCTAGCATTGTGGAGTGTCCTATGTGCCTTTCGCCTCTCTGAAGTTCTGCGTCAGCACTTTTATGCAAAAAGCTGAGGCTGAGTAGGAAACAAGTCAGTAGTCCGTGGAGTCTTTTAATTCTGTGCTAACTTCTCAGACAAGGCTCTGCTTCTTACCAGTCTTTAATTTTTAGCCTGTAAGGTATCAGGGTGGGGAGGAATGATGCTGAATTAGGTGATCAGAGGTCTCTTCCACAGCTGCCATTCTGGGATTGTGCCCCATCGGGTTCTTTGACAGTAGCTTGGGTGGGAAAATGGGGTCACTTGTTTTGGGAAGGGGATTAATGACCTCTTGGGGCTGAGGACTACTAATGGACCTCCTGAGAAGGCAAAGGAGGGAGTTTGAGGGAGGGGTTCTAGAAACCTTTTCTTTATGAGATACGCGTGGCTTGTCCCCCAGGCCTCTGGTGTGGCTGTCTCTGATGGAGTCATCAAAGTGTTCAATGACATGAAGGTGCGTAAGTCTTCAACACCAGAGGAAGTGAAGAAGCGCAAGAAGGCGGTGCTCTTCTGCCTGAGTGAAGACAAGAAGAACATCATTCTGGAGGAGGGCAAGGAGATCCTGGTAGGCGATGTAGGCCAGACAGTAGATGACCCCTACGCCACCTTTGTTAAGATGCTGCCGGACAAAGACTGCCGCTACGCCCTGTATGATGCGACCTATGAGACCAAGGAGAGCAAGAAGGAAGATTTGGTTTTTATCTTCTGGTGAGCTCCTCATGCAGGCACCACTTCCTGTCACCTGTCCCAGTTCTGCCCTAACCCCTTTTCTCAGGATGGGAACTCTGTAGCTCCTGATTAACCAGAGGTGTATTCTTTGTAGGGGAGTACATTATAACAGAACACTTGTTAATGAGGAACTTGATAAAAGCTTGAATGCTAGGGGCCAAGCCAAGTGTTTCTGGGAGTCATTTATAACTTGAGGACACTTCCTAGTCTTGGAGGTGAGTTTTGCTGCAAGTTCTCTCTTTTTCTCCAGGGCCCCTGAGTCTGCACCCCTTAAGAGCAAAATGATCTATGCCAGCTCCAAGGATGCCATCAAGAAGAAGCTGACAGGTAAGGGCCAACATTGGTGGTGCCACATGTGCTTCTGCTCAGTCCTTGGCTGCAGGGTGGGGTGACTGGTGTGGCAGAGGAGGTTCTGTCCCCTCTTCCCTGCCTGTTTGGAGGGTAACCTTGTCCCTTTTATCTTCTCTGATTGGCTTCTTCCCAGCCATAACACTGCCCAGATCCCAGCCACCACCCTAATGCTTCCTGCTCACAGACACTCCCCCTTCTTCCCCACAGGGATCAAGCATGAATTACAAGCAAACTGCTACGAGGAGGTCAAGGACCGCTGCACTCTTGCGGAGAAGCTGGGGGGCAGTGCTGTCATCTCCCTGGAGGGCAAGCCTTTGTGAGCCCCCTCCAGCCCCCTGCCTGGAGCATCTGGCAGCCCCAGACCTGCCTGTGGGGGTTGCAGGCTGCCCCCCTTCCTGCCAGACCGGAGGGGCTGGGGGAATCCTAGCAGGGGGAGGGCAATCCCTTCACCCAGTTGCCAAACAGTCTCCCACCCCCTGGACCTTCCTTCTCCTTCCACCCTTGACGGTTCTGGCCTTCCCAAACCGCTTTTGATTTTCTGATTCCTCTTGGGTTGAAGCAGACCAATCCCCCCTACCCCAAGCACCCCAGTTTGGGGAAGGGCCTGTATTTTTTTTAACGACACCCCAACTTCCCACCTGTTCTCCCTCTCCCATGCTGCCAACTTCTAACCGCAATAGTGACTCTGTGCTTGTCTGTTTAGTTCTGTGTATAAATGGAATGTTGTGGAGATGACCCCTCCCCATGACACCTGGTTTCCTCCCCTTTTCCACCCAGTCATGGTCGCTCATGGAAACAGGACCAGTAAGGGACCCTCAATTTAAAAAAAAGAAAAGAAAAACACAACAATAAAAAGGCTCACTTAATAGGACGTTTGTTTCAGAATTGGGGCCCTGGGGAACTTGTGGAGAGTGGTAGGCTAGGAGAATGAGCAGCATTCTCTGTGCTTTACCTTCAACCAGCCCAATACCATTATGTGGCCTCAGTGACTGGCCAAGTCTCTTCTGATAGTTGCCATTCATTCCATGGGTAGTGCCACAGTTGGCACCAGATTGGCTATTTAGGCGGTACCTGAGCTAGGGCATATCAGCAGAAGGGGTTTTATGACTGAACTGTTTTCTTCTGTAGCCTTGACCTTAGTAGGCAGCAGGGCAGTGAGGCCCCTTCTCTGGTGCCCTGCTCAGTTCTTCCAGCCACTACCTTCTTCCCTGGAGGGCTGACTCATTTATTCAGGCTGGGTCCAGTAGCTGCTGTGAGTCAGAAGCCAAGTTGAGTCTGGCCTGCTGCAGATGTGTGGCTGGAGTACAGGGTGGGGCTAACCAGGAGGAGCTCAGGACTTCAGACCCAGGTGTCTTGGGCTCCACCCCCCCGTGTTTAATCAAGGGGGTGTTGGCTAGAGGTTCCAGCCTTTTGCCAGCATTGCTGCTGGCACTCCAACCTGTACTTCAGGCTTTAACCTGCCCGGCAGGTAAAGGTATCCTAGAACTCTTGCTCCAGGGGTGGTAATGTGGGTTTATACCCACCTGTACCCCACCCCCACCCCAGTCTAAAATAGCCTAAAGTTAGCTGGTTCCTGGAGATGGCAGTATCTGTGAGAGGCAGAAAGGGGTAATTCCATTTGTTTAGGAAATAGGTGTAGAGGATTTGTGACTCGTCTTAATGTGGTCCATGCCTTGAATACTTCTGGGTCTTGCACCTTCCCATGAAGAATCAGTTGGTACTCTGGAAGATGACTAAGGATGCTGTAGGGTCCTCCCCATGTTCCCCCAGGATCTGGTCTCCTGGTACAGGGTATGCCTGGTGGGTCCTGAAACTGGGAAGTGAGGATGAAGCAGGCCTTAAAAATTTTTTTTTTTTTAATCCTCATCCAAGAACATTTTTCCATTTTTTGTTCAGATAGAGTGGGAGGGAGAGAAACATCGATGTGAAAGGGATACATTGAGTGGTTGCCACCTGCACAACCCATCCAGGGCCGGGGACAAACTGCAACCAAGGTACGCACCCTTAGCGGGAACCGAACCCAGGTCTGTGGACCGTAGGCTGACGCTCTAACCACTGAGCAAAACCAGCCAGAGTGAAGCAGGCTTCTTTGTTACAAAACCAGGCTCTATTTTCGGACAGGCTGGGGACAACTGAACTCTGGGGCCAGAAGGTGGGTGGGAGCTGCCTTTCTGTCCCCGGGGGAGTGAGGTCAGGGCCTTGGGGCTCTGCTTACCTGTGGACAGGTATGGTGCCCATGCTGCTGTATTCCCTTGCAGGGTTTGGCACCTGGAGTGAGCCTTGGGTTTGACCTGGGAGATTATGGGCATGGCTAGAGGCTGCTGTGGGTGGGGAAGAAGGCATCTTGCCAGTGTGACAGGAGGTCTGAGACTTACTCGTTGTCCCAGAGCAGTCTCTGGCCGCTCTAAGGCTCCCTTTTGAGGGTGACAAGGATGTTCCAGAGAAGCAGGGTGATAGCCTGCAGAAGAGAAAGGTCCTGGATGTCCCCAGCCTGTGCCACCGTGCTCCCTGAGACCGTGTTGCTCTTCATGTGCCTCAAATAACTCCCCATTCTCTCATCCCTGCCCTCGGCAGTAACAGCTGCCATCTATTGAGGACATAACTACTGTTGATAAGGGCAGGGTCCTGGCCCAGATGAGGAAACAGCTAAACCTCAGCTGGGACTTCTCAAGGTTGCCTGACCCCTCCCAGCAACACTCAGACACTTGAAAAGAACCCAGGGTAGGAGTTGGGGAGGTAGCAAGAAGGCTTAGTGAAGCTAGAGGGTTCACCTGATGAGGTTCTTGCTGAAGGAAGACATGGCAGTTAATGAAGACTTGAAGTTAATGAGTTCTGGAGAGAAAAGAGGAATGGGAACCCTGATAGGGTAGGCAGCCTAGTGGCAGGGTCTCCAGGGCCATGCATCACACCCTGCTTGGCTGAGAGGCACACGCACACCAGTTCCTGGTGTGTGCTTTGTCCAAAGCCTTGGCGTTCTCGTAATCGGCCAGGGACTGCAGCCACTGGTATAGCAGGTCCTGGGGCCAGTAGGGACACAGGATCACTGTTGCCCACCACCCTCATCTACCTTCCCTCCTTGGTTGCTCCTGTCCTACTGTCCTCTAGTCCTGAGGTCTGCCTACCTCTCACCTTGGCTGACTGTGTCTCCCATGTAGTATCTCAGCATGTCTGACAGCTTCAGGTCCTGGTCTGAGGCTACTCAGCCCTCTAGCTTCTGAATCAGGAAGGTGGAGGCAGGAGAGGGAGCTTGTTGAGGAGCAGCTAAGGGTTGTGGGGCTGCTGCTCATTTAAATATCTAGCATCACTTGATAACCACTCTAGGTCAAGCCCTGATGTTCATGGGAGTAGGTCAGGGAAGGCTTCACAGAGGAGGTGGTATCTGATCTGAGACTTGGGGGTTGAGTAGAAATGAAACAACAGCCAAAGGCTTTGCCAGGTGTGTAAGCCTGGTATGTGCTCAGGGAACCAGAGGTTCAGTGGGGACATTTGGACAGCAGTGACCAGAACACAAAAGGCTAAAGTGCAAGCTAAGGACTTTGTTGCTTTGTGTCTTGGGCAGTTTCTAGAAGGGGCAGGATCATTGAGTCTTGAGCAGGGAAGAAATGAGGTCCAACACATTTTAAAAAGACTGGCACACTCCAGTGTCTTTCTTGGAGAAGAATTCAGAAAGAGTGGGTCTGGGGCAGGATGTTGGAAGCACAGTGCAGGCTGCCAGAGGCAGGTGGCACATCCTTGTAAATGCTCACCAAGCCCAGTTCTCACTCTCCTCCCGTCACACCACACACACTTGAGACTGGATCCCCGTCTGCACTCCACTTCTTTATTAAACTAGTCTGAAGGATAAGTCCAGGGTATCGTGAACATGAGGATTCCAAAATTATCCTGGAGCTTTACCCTTTCCCAGGATTCTTCCCTGCAAAGGATCTTTGTATGGCCTTTCAACACAGAAGGCAGTACTCACCCTTAGTCTTTCAAAAAATTCTGACAATTTGAGGAAGCGCCTAAGAGGAGGGAGTGGGGAGGTAGGAAAGGAGCCTTAGGTGGGTGTTTAAAGCCTCCCTGCTCTGACACCACCCTTGGGGAAATCTGTTTCCCAAATCCCGGTAGGCACTTCTGCAATTCCCACCTAGAGCAGGTAGATAGGCTTCCACAGTGACCCCTTGTGGGCACAACACAGTATTACAGGCATAAAGGGCAGGAGAGGTGAAAGAATCCTCACTTTTTTAGCTGGTTGACGTATGTGTTCCCAGACTGCTCAGTGGGGCTGAGAGAGGGATATAATGGTCTGCCAGGCCTGTTGGGGAACAGGCCTCCATCAGAGCTCATTGGTCTGCATGCCAAGCCCCACCCCTGGTGTTTGTGGCCGTGGACAGACACAAGGCATTTCCTCTCTCCTCTCTGGGGAATCAGACCACGAGGAAGAGAAGGCAGGGAATCCAGGGCCCCTTGGGCACTGAATACAATTGTGGGAGTGCATGATTCAGTCTGCCTTTGGGTGTGGTACTCCAGCAGGAAGGTCCTCTCATGCTCAAAGTCATCCACCTCCTAAGACAAGACTCACTTACACTAAGTCACCAGGAACATGGCACCACAGACAACCAAGGGTGGCACAATCTTTCTCGAGGCCAGGCCCTACTAGAGGCTTCCCTCCCACAGCCATCCTGAGCCTCAATCTTTGCTATGGATTTGGGTCCCTGGGTTGAATCCAGAGAGCAGGCCCAGGGGTCACCTTGAACACTGACATGCCAGTGATGAGAGCTTCATCTGCAGACTTCACAATATTCCTCAGAAAACCCCCAAGGATCTCCTTCCGGTTCTTTCCTCAGACACTCAGCTGAGGCACACGTGGAGAGGGTATGATGAGGTGGGCATTTGTACCCCCCACCCCAGGCACTTTGCCAATGAGGTGTTGACAGAGGCTTGAGCCCACTTAGAGCCCTGTCTCCCACCCCCAGGGGTGACCCCTGCACTCTGGCTCAGCTCACATCCTGGTTGTGTTCCAAAAAGACAAGTTGTGGTCTTGCCACAGGGTAGGGTGAGCCGCCTGGCGCTGCAGAAAGACTTCATGCATAGCAACTGTCTTCCTGAAGATAGCCAAGTACTCCATGCAGAGAATGGCAGGCAGCTCAAGGACTGCTTAGTTCTGATCATCCTGCCCCTTGCCCCCTCAGCAGCCCTGGGGTCAGAGTCCCTTAACATCCATAGGGAATATTCAGGGGGCGCTGGGCTGGGCTGGGCTGGGGCGTTGTCATAGACAAGGAAAGGAGGTAGCATTCATACTTCTAGCTCCTGCTTTGTTTTGGCAAACAAATGGAGCTGTCTCCTTCACCCAACTTCTGCAGCTTTTCTCTTGAAGCCTCAAAGTCTGGCTCTGGAAGAGCTGGGGAGATCTGCTTAAAGGAGGGATAGAGCTGGGAGACCTTGTTGCTGAGAAGGCCATCACCCACACCCAGAAGCCTGGCTCAGCCATCCGTCCTCACCTAAGCGCCCAGGCCGGCATGCTCCTTGTTTTCCACAGACGTCATGTAGCCAGATAAACTCATGCTGGGCGAAGTGAAGTGAGGAAGGCAGCTCTGGAGGCCAGGAAGCCTGTGTGAGGTGGCTCTCCTCCCCTCCCCAAACCCTGCATCAAGCTTCCTGGGCACCTACTTTTAGGCCTCCCCAATCCCACATCCCAGATAAGGCCCAGTTGGGGCTCAGTGTCCATGCTTCAGTCAAGCTAGAGGACAGAGGATGGTTAGGACTTGGGGCCTTAGGCAAAGGCAAGCAGAGACAAGATTATGGCCCCCCAAAAAGATGCCTGATTTGTCAGAGGGGTTTGGAACAGGAACCAGGTTAAGGAACCCTGGGGTAGCAGAGGCTGAGGGAAGCAGGTTCTTCCAGCTCCTGAAGCTTTCTGTGGCGGCCATCTGAACTGTCCCCTCACTCCTTATGCAGCCTCACCTTGGTTTGAATGGTGAATTGCACCTTGTCCTGCTCACGCACTGCATCAGAGCTCTCCACCTGTAAGAAGCTGTCTCCCTGCAGGTTCACGGATATGGAAGAGGGCTGTAGGGGAGGGGAGGTCCCTGACATGACTAACCATGGCCCCTTTGCCCATCCTCGATGCAGGTTTCTGGCTCCACCTAAGCAGCATTACTTCCATAATGCCCCAGGGTCACAGGCTGGCCCCAGAGGGATCCTGGAGTCACTGCTTAGGGATTTACAATGACCACAACACTTTCCCACCCTCTCCTCCTCTGGAGCAGGCAGAATTCTTCCCATTTCATAGATGTGGAAGCTGAGACCCCCAGAGAGGTGAAATACATGTCTCAGATCATACAGCTGTGGCAGAGTTTCTCAATTCCAAACCATGCACTTTCTCAGCTACCTGCCCACCCCTTCCCCAGCTGGTTAACTCAGATACACTTTCACCAGGTATAGAGTTGGACTTTTAGTGCCAAGAGGCATTGGCTTATAGGCAAAACAACTGTATTTCTCTAAGTGAAAAGATTCATGAAGCATCAAGCTATTAGTTCATTCTTCCATTGAGCTATTCAACAAACATTTATTGAACACTTACTGGTCCACATCATTGTGCCAAGTGATGCTAAAAAGGGAAGATGCTTAGAAGCCACTCTACTTTCAAGCATTGTTCACCAGTACATAAACAGGCAACTGCCCACCTCTCACACCCAGAGGCCTCACTCTTTCCTCCCAGGCTTTGGCACACTCTGGGACCACTATTCTGACTTCTATCACCACAGGTCTTGAACTTCATATACATGCATGTTATACACTTTTTTGTGTCCATGTTTTTTAATGAGATCCATCTATGTTGGTGCAGCAGTTCTTTTTCATTGCTGTGTAGTATTCCATTAATATTAATACTTCATAGTTTATGTATCCATTCTACATTTGCTCAAGTTTGGGGCTATTATGAATAAAGCTATCATGAATATACTTGTATGTTTTTTGAAGGACCCAAGTACTCATTTCTGTTGGGTGTGAGAATTACTTGGCCATAAGATAGGCATGTGTTTAAAATGCTTTCATCAGCCCTGGCCGGTTTTGCTCAGTGGCTAGAGCATCAGCCTACGGTCCGGAGAGACCCAGGTTCGGTTCCTGCTAAGGGCGCGTACTTGGTTGCGGTTTGTCCCCGGCCCTGGTTGGTCGTGCGGGTGGCAGCCACTCGATGTGTCCCTTTCACATCGATGTTTCTCTCTCTCTCCCCCACTCTATCTGAACAAAAAATGGAAAAATGTCCTTGGGTGAGGATAAAATAAATAAATAAATAAAATGCTTTCATCAATAATGCCAAAGAGTTTTCTAATATAACTGTACTAATTTATATTCCTGCCAGCATTGTATGAAAGTTCCAGTTGCACCACATCCTTGCCAATACTTAGAATTGTTAGTCCTTTTAATTTTAGCCATACTGGTGGTAGTATGGTAATATTAACTTGTATTATCTGGGGAGGAATGACATTGAACACCATTTTATGTACCCATTGGCTATTTGGATATCTTTTGTAAAGTGCCTCTTCAAGTGTTCCTCCCCTACTCTCCTTTTTAAAATATTATTCTTTTTTTTTTAATCCTCACCCGAGGACATTTTTCCATTTTTTGTTCAGATAGAGTGGGAGGGAGAGAGAGAGAGAGAAACATCGATGTGAAAGGGACACATCGAGTGGCTGCCACCCACACGACCCAACCAGGGCCCGGGACAAACCGCAACCGAGGTACGCGCCCTTAGCAGGAACCGAACCTGGGTCTCTCCGGACCACAGGCCAATGCTCTAACCGCTGAGCCAAACCAGCCAGGGCTAAAATGTTATTCTTATTGATTTGTAGGAGCTCTTTATATACTCTGGAGACAAACTCTTTGTCAGTTTTATGTGTTGACAATATTTCCTACTCTATGGGTTGCCTTTTTTTGTTGTTGTTATTCCTCACCGGAGGAGATATTTTTCCATTGCTTTTCAGAGAGAGTGGAAGAAAGGTGAGAGAGAGAGAAAAAACAACAACATTGATGTGAAAGAGACATATCGATTGGTTGCCTCCCACATGTACCCCGACTGTGGCAGGGGATCAAACCTGAAACCCAGATATGTGCTCTTGATCAGGAATCCAACTCTTTGGTGTGCAGGCCTATGCTCTAACCACTGGCCCACACCAGCCAGGGTCTGATTGGATTTTTAGCCTTAAGCGAGTAAACAGGCAATCCTGCCCTGGCTGATGTGTCTCGGTGATTAGAGTGTTGGCCTACTCACCGAAGAGTTGGATTCCTGGTCAAGAGCACATACCTGGTCAAGAGCATGTACCTGGGTTGCAGGTTCCATCCCGGACCCCAGTTAGGGATGCCTGAGGGAGGCAACCAACAAATGTGTCTCTCTCACATTGATGTTTCTCTCTCTCACCCCTCCTCTCCCCCCCCGACTTCCCTCCCTTCTACTCTCTCTAAAAAGAAAAAAGAAAAAATCGCCTGGCCAGTGTAGCTCAGTGGTTGAGCATTGACCCATGCAGCACAAGGACACTGGTTCAATTCCTGGTCAGGGCATATGCCCAGGTTGTGGGCCAAATCCCCAGTGGGGGGCATGCAGGAGACAGCCAATTGATGTTCTCTCATTGATGTTTCTATCTCTCTCTCCCTCTCCCTTTCTTTCTCTCTCTACCAAATCAATAAAGAAAAAAAAAATCAATGGAAAATATATCTTCAGGTGAGGATTAACAACAAAAATCCAATCAGAAAATATTTGGTTTTTAATTGGAATGTTTGGTCCATTCATAATTACTGTAATTACTGATATACTTGGCTATAAACCCTGTCATCTTGCTTTTCTGTTTTTTTATTTTTTTTAATCCTCACCCGAGGACACCCTTGCATTTTATCTTCAGATGGAGCGGAAGGGAGAGACGAGGGAAGAGAAAGAGAGAAATGTCAATGTCAGAGAGATACATAGAGTGACTGCCATCTACATGACCCTTGGGGTCGTGCAGGTGGCAGCCACTTGATGTGTCCCTTTCACGTTGATGTTTCTTTCTCTCTCCTCTCTCCCTCCCACTCTATCTGAACAAAAAAATGGAAAAATGTCCTTCGGTGAGGATTAAAAAAAAAAAAGGAGAATTTTAGAGAAGGTAATGCTTACTATAGAATACAAGGTGTAATAGTGGACTTTTAGAGGCCGACTCCTAGAAAGATTGGGGATGCACCTATCAGTTTGCTAGCCCAGCACATGTTCAGAGCATATAGCGTCCCATATGATAACGGTAATAACAATAGCAACAACAATAATATAATAGCTGCCCTTGCCAATTTGGCTCAGCGGTTAGAGCGTCGGCCCACGGTCCAGAGAGACCCGGGTTTGGTTCCCACTAAGGGCACGTACCTTGGTTGCAGTTTGTCCCCAGCCCCGATTGGGGTTGTGCTCAAGGCAGCCACTCTATGTGTCCCTTTCACGTCGATGTTTCTCTCTCTCTCTCTCTCCCTCCCACTATATCTGAACAAAAATGAAAAAATGTCCTCAGGTAAGGATAAAATAATAATAATAATAATATAATAGCTAATACTTATATTTGCTCTTTCTATATGCCAGGCACTACTCTAACCATTTTATGTATATTAACTAATTTAACCGTGAGTATGAATATAGATAAACATTGAAACAGATACTTTCTGTTCCATGCTTTATGTCTCTCAGCCCCTCTCACCTGTCCAAACTCCTTACTTCTTGGCTTTTCTGACACCCCCAGGTAAAGCTCTTTCTCTGTCCAACTGCTCCCCACCACAACATACACAATCTAGCTCATTGGTGCAGTAGGCCCCTAAGTTCCCTGTCTCCTTCCTGCTGCCTTACTTTCTGACCTTTGACCTGCACCGCTTGGTAACTGCTTGAGGAAGATGGGACTTCAAGGATAGACCACAGCTGCTCCATCCTTATTCCTCACAGCTCACTATGTACATGCCTCCAACCCCCAAAAGTGTACACCCTGTGTGCATCTTTGGCAGAAAGATGCTCAACAACTATTTGCTGAATGAAGTCAAGAGAAAATAATAAAGATCGAATGGTCTTATGATTATATGAACACAAGCTATTAGTGCAGAACAGGATTCTCCCCACCTTGGTAAAGAAGAAGGGTACTCTAGTCCCTCCTCCACCCCTACCATCCCTCCCTCCTCCTCTTCTCCATCAAGCCAGCATGAGTCTGTCCTAGGGAGGTGAGGAGTGACAGTGCCGGGTCCCTTCCCATCTGTCAGGACAAAGGTAAACCCTGCTTCCTTTGGCATCCTCACCAGTCCCCCCCAGTGCCACAGAGGCTCCCTACGCTCTTGCTCACGCATGCGCGCGAACACACACACGCTCCCTTGATTGGGCATAACTGGTATCAAGGAGTGAGGTGGAGGTTGGGAGGAGGTCTGCATCCTTACTTTACCTGCTCTCCTTCCCAGCCTCCATCACGCTCCTCGACTGCTGCACACAAGGATTCCGCGGCTGGCCACTGCCTGCGCGCTCTCGCAGCTTGGTCCCCAGTTACTCGCTCCGAGGAACGGCCCAAGAGGGGATTCTATCAGCGGATGGAGACATTCTTTCCTCCCAGCCAAGGAGTCACCTGAAGTCGGGCGTGGCTCCCACCCCGCTCCCTCACAGCCTTGTCTTTTGATTGGGTACTGAGTTTATGGTACGCGACGCCATTGGCTTCAACGCCTGTCATTTCCTGTGTCCAGGCCTCAACTTTTAAGAGGAGTCGCGGAACTGAGAGTGGCGGGAGCCAGCGGCAGCACGGGCGCTGGGGTCCCGGCTCCGGTCGCAGAGATCCTGTGCCGTGTCAGCCCCGCCCCCAGGCTGGCTGCCCGCTGCCCGCCTCAGCCCCGGAACGCGCCTTCCAAAGGGCTCGCGCGGTCTGCGCGTGCGCACTACCGTCTCGCGGCCCCATGGTGGTGGGCGGGGCCACGGGCGCGTGGGCTGAATGGAAGAGTGGGTGGGGTGAGGGGTAAAGGGAAGCTGGGGAGGGAATGATGGACTGCGGACGAGGGCAAGGACTAGTGTCTGTAGAGAAAGGGGTTCCGTTTGGACTTCGCTCTGGGACCTGAGGGAGCGGCGCTGTAAGCCGCACAGGGAGGCACGGGGTGCGACAAGGCCCGCGGCCAGGGCATCCAAGTGGTTTCTACTGGAGCCAGGA